CCCTTTTTTCCAACGGGGTGTTAATAGGCGTCAGGAAGTAAGCTGCAATCATCACGATTTATAGGAGCGTGGGCGGAGTTGATTTGCCAGGCTTCCAGACAAAGGCGCTGGTAGTAGCGCCGATTAGTGGTGATAATTTTAGACTTATCCCATCCAATTATATGGTTGGTTAGGCACGTGTGCTCGGACAAAGACAAGTGTCTATCTCTCACGAACGCCCGTTGTAACTCGCCTCCCACACTTTACCTCAAGTTCTATAGATGTATTTCATTTATTCCATTTTCTCAACTCCTAGCTGTCACAATTGTATGTGAAACATTCCAATCAACTGAGTGATCGAAACTTAATTCTGAACTACAATAGATATTGGAGATTAAAAAAATGAATATATTAATACTACTTCCAGTTACTATTAATAACCACACGCCGAATGTCGTTAATAAATTGTCAAACGTTTGTGCGCGAACACAAATTCTGCAACTAGATGAAACAGAACTCAGAGCACAAAATGAGCAAATAAACACACGCAACATCACTAAATATTGCTAAGAAACATATTACTCCTCCACCCATGTGACTTCAAATGAATGCCACATTTTTACGACCAAGTGTCCGTTTTCAAGAAAAGATTCTAAAGCCGCAACCTACTTGTTGTGAAATTTGCACTTGGCAAAGGAATATTCCAACAAAACGTAACAAAATAAAAAAAAATCCTTCGGTTTCCTACTCTAACATCTGATTACGAAAAGGTTAGTTGCGATGGTCCTCTGACTGCACACTTTGCTCAACAAACCCAGACTCCTGGGGGACATTCGAAGCCACTATTCTGCAAGCTCTTGGTCTTTGAGTCCCCTGTTTCCGCCATATTTCCTCCTGAAGGGGCCTTGGGTGTCTTTTGCTGTTCAGTTGCATTAGAGGGTAATGCTGTCGGAGTAGACGCCTCGACTGAGCTCGCGCTTGTTGCTATGGTGGCTAACGCACCCGAAGGAGTCACCCCGACCTGATCAGGAGTGTGCTCTTCGTTTTGTGAAACGCACGGCAAGAATCCGGGGGGACATTCCTTAACATCATAGGTGGACGGAAGTTTCTGATTAATGATAGGAAAATTATGTCCGAGCTCTGTTGTCAAGAGGATGACCATAACGGCGTTGAATAGAAACGTGTTCATTTTTTGAGATGATCTAAAGAAAAAAAAATTAATTAGTTTTCATTTTTCAAAAGATAGGAAACATGTTTGATGTTTTCATCGCCTTACTGTCTTCTCAGTCTTGTGACGTGAGTGGAAAATAATAATTTATACTTCATATTTGACCTGAAAGAGTATCATTGGTTAATCGAGGCTTTTTGTGCAGAACAGGCGTTGAAGGGCTAATTAAGAACCATAAATAGAACAAGAAAGCGGAAAATAGAATTTCACCCTCTTTCTTCGCTTTCATTTTCTAATTAAAGTTCCTCGCCATGAGATGCATTTTATTCAATGCAGAAAGAAGCAATTGTCGAAAACGAAATATTATGATGTTATCTCCAAATCTTTCATACTAAATGATACACCATCATCAAATATACGAAAACGACTACGTGTCAAGAGAAAAGCAGAAAATCTTGACTTGTCTTTTCTCGATTCACCAGGAGACCGATTGATACTAATAGATCATCGACTTAATTTTTGTTGGAGTAAATGAATACAAACCCCATACTTTATCAATGATTTCTTGTCTTTTGGTTCTCTTTTAGCACTCATTACTCTTTGTCACAGGAAGTCGAAAATAATTCGATTTCTTCCATGGCTCGACTTGCGTCTAACAAAATATCACAGGTTATCGAATCTCGTCAGTTTGTAAAGCTCCTGAAGATTTGCACTTCTAGGAAAGATTTCACTTGCAGTTGATGAACAAGATTTTCTTTCTTTTTTTCCTCCTTCTCTATTTCAGTGAAAGCTTTTAACTGACAATAGTTTTAAGCAGCGAGCACAACCTTAAAGGGAAAAATTCATCCTGCAGTAGCAAAAGCAAATCGCGTACGTACCTTGGTGCCACGCAACAAATCCGTTCTTTATTTGGGACGATTTTCACAAAGCTCAAAGAAACTTCCTTTTCTTTCTCAACCCTGTCAGCTGGTGAAACTTTATTCGGGATACAGCCCTTATCACGCAAGTAAATCGCAACGTCTGCCTTGAACCTTTGAAATCCTACACTGAACATCTTTTACACTTTTTTTTATGAAGAATGATGACCCCTTTGAGATCCTCCATCAAAATAATTCCCTTGAAACCATGGTTACCGGGCTACAACGCTCCCCAGTTGCCGGAATGAAACAAAAAAGAATCGCATACCCCTTGCTAAAATGAGTAGATGGTAAAATTAGTCCCTCTAACACGAAGATGTTATCGCCACCTAACCCAGGAAACTTTTTCTCTTAAATGTGTGAGGAAAGAAGGACGTGCTTGAGCCATTGATCAGCCCAAGAGTTCGTCACATCAACATTGCCTACCTTAAAAACTTTCTGGCATTTTTCCATCGTTTTCGAATATCTCTTTTCTTCCTTTAGCAGCGACAATCCCTTTTCAAGCCAAGTAGATGGCATATCAAAGTTTTCCGTGGTTCGGTGTGTTTTTGTTGGTTGAGAGATGTTCCCTTTTCCTCTTTTACTGAACACGAATCGAAACATGGCTGCCCAAGTGGATTATATTTCCTGCATAACGACATAAAAGAAATGATCAATTATAAAAACAAACTTTTTCGAAGAGGGTTTCCGACAGGATCTACAGTTGTGGAACAGAATGCTTAAGTTACTAGCTTCGTAAAGACCCTTTGACAACCAAATTGTCACTAAGGGATTCCCATGCTCGCTTTCTTTGCATGCGACTCTTGCAAAGGGGGGGGGGGGGGGGTTGAGGATTGGGTAACACCTAAAGGACGCTCGGATGAGGGTGTGCCTTTCATTATACGACGTTATTCAAGGGGAAAACTCACCAGAGTTGCGGTAAATCAGCCTCCCTCTTGTTAATTCTAGGATATCCAGACAGAATATTTATTACAGTTTACATATATATATGACTGTAAGGTGATTGTGATCAATTGTCAACTAGCCGCCGATTCATTCAAATATTTCAGAGTTTACTCATAGAAAGGAAAGTCACTGAACATTTTGATATAAATTCCTTTTGTATTGCAACGTTCTTCTGACGCTAAGTGAACACTTGCAGCCATCTGGCTGCAAACACTACTTGATACTTGTTTTCCCTATTATTATTGCGGCAATAAATCTCCTTTCGTGGCCCATCATGAATACTGTTATAAGAGGATTAATAAATAAATGGTTGACTGGGAAATCACGCTATCCTATTTAATTCACGTGATTTACTGATACCATGCCATGGATTGAACAGAAAACGCTTATTGATTGTAATAATACGTTAAATAAACAGATTTATAAAATAATTCTTCCGTCGGCATCGCGTGATTTACTTATTGCGTGCCATGAGTTGCACTGCAATTGTTATTCGAGGAGCGGCGAAGAAAACAAAAAATTGAATAAAGTAAGAATCAAATATAACCAAGAAATATGAGAAAAGGTAACTTGTTTCCATCTTTCGTTCAACGATGCCAAGTTTCAAGGATGATTTAGAGTCTGCTCATTTCTTTGTGAGTTAATCCACTTTTAATGTCATCAGACATATGACTCGTTGCCATTTTAGACCTGGAATGGTAAGTCTTGCTTTCCGGCTGATTTTCTTTGATGTCAGGTGTCTTTTGATTATCTGCCAGGTAAGACATGCAATGAATAAACGGAGATTGTGCAGACACAGCGCTAAAGTTCACATGGCGATCAGGTGGACAATCAGACATTGTTTGATGCTACTCTGGTTTAAAGATATAATGAATGTAACCGAGAAGTTACAATTCCGGCATAGACCCAAAGTTTCGACACTACTGTCTGGAGCCTTCATCAGGGGTGATCTAAACGCTACAACAAGAGGTCCTTTATAATTTTATAATTTTAGACTTATCCCACCTAATTGTATGGCTGGTTAGGCATGTGTGTTCTGATGAAGCTGAATTTTTTTTTTATAAAAGAAGACCACTTTTTGATGCTCTTTCAAACGTTTACCAAACTGACGTTTGGTCTGTCCGATGTACTCGTTATCACAGTCATTACAGGGAATAGAATAAATAGCGTCGGTTCGTTGTTCTTTCGTGACAGGATCCTTAGGTTTGACAAAAGTATACCCCAAATTCTGAAAAGGCTCTTGAGCAACTTTAACGTTGTGGCTATTCAAAATTCTCCCGATGGGTTCCGTAACACCTTGAATGTAGGGAATAACAGCAAAACCAGTAGCTGGTTCCCTCTTATCAGGAGTGCTACTAGTTGTAACTGGTTTTCGGCAGTTACGGAGAAAAGTTTTGGTATAGCCATTCGCCTTTAGGACATTAGAAACATCTTTCCTCTCCTCAGCCTTCGAATAGAGTGAAGATGATAGACAGTCAGCCTTCCTGATTAAAGTTTTGGCTACAGACTTTTTATGGCAAATAGGGTGTTGAGAATCGAAAGCGAGGTATTTGTCGATGTGGGTAGGTTTACGATAGACACTTGTCCCTAAATTCCCCTGTTTCTCTCTGTACACATTTAGATAAAAAAGGGGAAAATGTCTATTCTTTTCACGCTCAAGGGTGAATTGGATAGACGGCTCTATTGAATTTAAGTGCGATAAGAAGGCATTCCGCTTCATTTCCGGATATCATCGACATATCGTTTCCAAAAAAAGTGGGCCTAAACGGCGATTAAATTGATCTCAAATCAGACTGATCTCCGTATTATGACCGCTGATATTGAAACTGAGTCCTGCTGTTTTTGCCTCACTAGAATTTCAGTGGGTAAAACAGATGAAACGTCCTACGTCTGGTCAATCCGATGGCAAAATGTGGGAATTTTCGGAAAAAAACAAGATCAACTTTTGGGGTGGCCTCATTTGTTCGATTCTAAATTCATGTTCACAGGCATAAAAAGGATAAGCATTTTATTTTGTCAGACCAATTCGTCTACAACAGGAGTGGAATTGTAAGAGATGCAGTTCCAAAGGAAACTTCGGTAAAGGATATGAAAATGCATTCGATTGACAAACGTGCTTAATTGCAAATGTCGAAAGTCAACTCGATTCGCCCTCTTGCAGAGTTACTATAAAATCAGTAGAGAATGAGGTGATTCTGTATCAAAAATATATTCAGACACTACCAAAGATAACATCCAGTAAAGTCACCGAGACCTTGTTTAACAACGTCGGCGTCTCGATTTTGAAAATCACTTTGCTTTGACAACTATCGCATTGTTTCACTAAACTGGAACTGTTTTATTATTAAGAGAAACTTCGAATAAGCCATACTCCTACTTTGAATTGCACCTTTGGAGTTGAGCTTTATGCTTCGTTGGCTCCTTAGGAACGGGATTGGCCAAGAAAAATGAAGATGAAATCTATATTATGTTACGTAATAGTCATCGCGAGGTCACCTTGCGCGTTACTCGCGCGCCTTCTCTCACAAGCGCCCGTTGCAACTCGCCAGTTTTACCTCAAGATCTACAGATGTATTTCACTTATCCATTTTCTCAACTCCTAGCTGTCACAATTGTATGTGAAACATTCCAGTCAACTATGTGGTTGAAACTTAATTGAGAGATTGCAAAAAAAAAAAAATAATAATAAATAAATAAATACTGCTGCCACATACTATTAATTACCACATGAATGTCGCTAATAAATTGTCAAAAGTTTGCGCGCGAACACAACTTCTGCAACGGGATAAAACAGAACTCAGAACACACATGAACAAATAGATACGTGCAACACCTCTTAATACTATTAAGAAATATATCACTCCTCAACTCATGTGACTTCAAATGAATGACACATTTTTACGACCAAAGCCGTTACCTACTCGTTGCGAAAATTCGCATCTGGCAAACGAACATTCCAACAACAAGTAACAAAATAACATGAAGTCCTTCGGTTTCCTACTCTAACAAATAACACGCCTTAAATTCCACCACATCTGATTACGAAAAGGTTAGTTGCGATGGTCCTCTGACTGCACACTTTGCTCAACAAACCCAGACTCCTGGGGGACATAAGTGGTTACCATGCTGCAAGCTCTTGGTCTCTGAGTTCCCTATTTCTCCCATACTTCCTACTGAAGGGGCCTCGGGTGTCTTTTGCTGTTCAGTTGTATTAGAAGGTAATCCTGTCAGAGTAGATGCCTCGACTGAACTTGCATTAGAAACCTTCCCTTTGTTTTCTGAAACGCATGGCAAGAATCCGGGGGGACATTCTGTATCATCATAGGTGGACGGAAGTTTCTGATTAATGATAGGAAAATTTTGTCCGAGCTTTGCTGTCAAAAGGATGACCATAACGGCGTTGAATAGAAACGTGTTCATTTTGAGATGATCTAAAGAGAAAAAAATGTTAATTAGTTTTCGTTTTTCAAAAGAAAGGAAACAAGATGTGTGATGTTTTCATCGCCCTTTTGTCTTGTCAGCCTTGTGACGTGAGTGGAAAATGACACTTTATACTTCACATTTGACCTCAAAGAGTATCATTGGTTAATCGAAGCCTTTTTGTGCAGGACAGGCATTGAATTTTCTGAGTCGTAGGAAAAACTGTCCTGATGTGGCCAGCTGTGAACTAATAACCCCTGGTCTCCTTCCGAAAAAAAAGATCTTTTATTTCAGCGCGTGTAAGTCATGTGATCAGTGGGGGTGAAGAGAACTAGGAAGCGATTGCGAAACCTTAATCCTTGTGCAAATGCATGAAATATCCGGCATATAATTCTAGTAAAATTTTTCATGTGCCTCTAATCAGTAAGACGGCTCTAATTTTGTGGAAAGCAGGTTGAAAACAGAAAAAAACATCGAATGAAAGGGCTAATTGAAAACCACAAATATGACAAGAAAGTGAAAGTAGAATTTCACCCTCTTTCCTCGCTTTAATTTTCTAATGAAAGTTCCGCGCGATGTGATGCATTTTATTTACTTCAGAAACGCAGAAATCATCGAAAACGAAATATCTTGATGTTGTCTCTAAATCCTTGATACTAAATGATACACCATCATCAAAGATACGAAAATAACTGCGTGTTAAGAGGAAAGTTATGCTGAAAATCTTGACTTGTGTTTTCTCGATTCACCAGGAGACCAATTGATACTAACAGACGGATCATCAACTTTATTTCTGTTGGAGTTCTGTTGGAGTAAATGAATACAAACCCCATACTTTATCAATAATTTCTTGTCTTTTGAATCTTTTTCAGCATTCATTACTCTTCGTCACAAGAAGTCGAAAGTAATTCGATTTCTTCCAAGGCTCGACTTGCGTGTAACAAAAATTATCACAAGTTACCGAAGGTCATCAGTTTGTAAAGCTCTTGAAGATTTGCTCTTCTAAGAAAGATTCCACTTGCAGTTGATGAACAAGATTTTCTTTCTTTTTTTCCTTCTTCTCTATCTCAGTGAAAGCTTTTAACTGATAATAGTTTTAAGCAGTGAGCACAACCTTAAACTGGGAAAAACTAACCCTGCTGCAGCAAAAGCAATTCGCCTACGTACCTTTTGGGTGCCACGCAGCAAATCCGTGCTTTATTCCCGCAAATTTTCACAAAGCTCAATAAGCTCCCTTCTCTTGCTCAACCCTGTCAGCTGGTGAAACTTTTACTCGGGATACAGCCCTTGTCATGCAACTAAATTGCAACGCCTGCCTTGAACCACTGAAACCCTACACCGAGCACCTTTTAACACTTTTTTAATGAGGAATGATGCCCCCCGTGAGATCCTCCATTAAAACAACTCCCTTGAAATAGATACAGAAGATGTGATAATAGTTGTGATTTTTGTCTGGCCTTTTGACGCGATGTCTACTTCAGGAAGCACGTATACAGAAAAGAACTTCAGTAAAAACTAGAGGAAAAGAGAGTATTGATGAACGGGTGATCTTTGTTAGATTTCAGGATACTGTTTATAACTTGGGTTAAATTTTCTCTGTATGCTCGTGAATCAAGGCAAAAATCGATTCTAAGTCACATGTATAGGCGAGATGGCACGTGTTTAGATGTTTTGTCCGTGTAAGAGGAAATCATTGAAGAAGGTGACGAGCGCTGACTTGAAAGCGTCCGAGTTAGTACCGTGACTTCGAAAAGGATTTACCTCACATGTATAAGCGGGTTAGCACGTGTTTAGGTGGCTTGTTCGTGTGCGGAGAAATGATTGAAGAAAGTGACGAGCGCTGACTTGAAAAAGGTCCAAGTCACTACTGTGACTATGAAGAATATTTACCTCACGGTGTATATCAGGACTGATCCTTGAACATTTTCATCCGTTTAAGATAGAAACTGCTCGATATCAATTAGCCGCGGTAGACAAACAGGAAAGAGTCAGAGAGAGACCAAAAGGGGACAAGTATAAATCACAGTAGAGAAAGAAAGCAGTGTAAATATATTTTAGCTAAATTTTTCACGAAATATTAACCCTGGAATAGCTCCCTAAACTTTGTGATCCATCTTGGCATCGCTGAAGGACGTTTCACTTGAGAGCATGTTTTCAAATCGCTAACTTGGCTACTATTGAAAGCAAACCGGGTTTTTCTTATGTCAGTTACCGTAGCCCTTCAGTGATTTATTTCTTTCTTTTCATCAAAATACCAATCCATCCACACAGTCGACCTTTAACGAGAGATGCCATTCGAATGGTATGGACTCAAAACAGTTGCAATCATAATAAAATGCTCCTTTGTAAAAGCGTAAAACATGAACTTAACCTAAGGCGTTTGTTCAAAGCCTCTCGAGTCCTTTTTGACCAGAACTTATCAGAGCCAAAGAAAATTGAAATAACAGTTGCAGATATTTTGAGGTCCTCTTTAAAATGCTGCACAGTCGCGTGACTATGTTCCCAAACCTGGCACAGTGTCATGGCTAAACCCATTAAGAAATATTTCACAGAAGACACTGAGCAAGTGAATCACCACTATTCACTTCGTATTGCATTACAAACAAGATTCGCGTGAGAGAAATTTTACAGGGCTACGTGCAACACTTGTATAGGGAGCTAAAAAAACAGCTATGAATGAGACCGTTTTCCTTTCCAGCTGTTATTTCGCAAGCGGATTCAACTTCCTTGCACGCACCTCGCTTGAAAAATGTGATACAAAAAAAAAGCTATGTTTGTTCTGCAGGATACTTGCCGACGGTCATTCAGTGCTGTCATGTCCACTGGCGAAAGTCAGACAGAGGCAAATTTAACTACAGTCTCACTTCCCCAACTGTCTCAACCATTACACGCTTGTTCGTTAACCGTTTCACTCCTGGATCTCATTAATATAGCAATTCTCCTTTCTGTCTGCTATGAAATTGTTATGATAGCAGTTTGGAGAATTTGGTATTTGATGAACTTAAAATCCCCTTATTGATATTGTTCTTTAGTTTCATCACTTATCTGCTTGATATCATACTGTATTGCTGGGAGAACCTCTGTTTTGGTCATTCGTGGAAATTATAAGATTAAGTGGTAAGAGGATTGTTTTACTAATCCTTGATCAGGAGTCAGGTAAAATAGCAATCATATTTGAAAATAACAGCTTGAAAGTCATGATTGTTGAATTAAGGAAGACTGCTGTTAAAAGATAAAACAACAACAACAATATAGGAAATTTTGGTGAAACTTGAAGGAGAGAAGATGCTTGATTTATTCCCAACACTGTGACGATCTGACACTCAAGCTGGGGGTTTCACTAGAATTCGCGTAAGTCCCTCTAAGACATACGTGAGCGTGCTGTTTGTATAGGTAATAAAATGATTTCGCCGAGTACAATTTGGTGTCAATAAGTACCAGTAAATGCCCATTAAACCAACTGCATGAGAAATTATGTTGTTAGTTTTTAATAATTTACATGAAAATCTCATCACAGAAAGTCAAGACGGACGAAATTTTGGCAGTTTGCGCTATTTGTTATTTGCACTCGAGTAACAACTTAGCACTCAAGTTACATGAAAAATATCAGACGCGTGTAATTTTTTCATCTATATTATTACAAAAGTTATGAAGGCATGAACAGATAGTGATAAAAGAAACCAGCTGCTCAAACAATTGTTTTTACTCGGGCTTTCCAAAGGAAACGCCCGAGTTGAAATTCCGGTTACGTTTTTCTTTTCGTTCGGTCGCAAATCGCAGTCAAGTCCTCATCACGCATGTGCAAGCTTTTGGTTCTGACGCATGCGTGACGTTTGACTAATGAGCACATGGCATGGCTCAGACAATGCCAGCTGTTCAGACAATTGTTTTTCCAAAGACAATCATTCTCAAAGCGTGTTGAAAGTTTGCCATAGTTTATTAGACAATAATTGCCATAGACAATTACAAACGCAAGGATCCGATTACTGGCAACTCATTCATTTTTTCATGAATATTATTACAAAGGTTAAAAGGCATGAATAGATCGTGATGAAAGACACCAGCTGCTCAGACAATTGTTTTTCTATAGAAAATCATTCCCCTAGCGGGATAAAAGATTGCCATAGTCTATTTGGTCATGTTTTTACAAAGCTTATGATTAATGGTTTCAAACTATCCGCACGACCCGTTGCGTGAAGGATCCGAGCCCAAAACATTTTCTGGGAAAACGAGGAAAGTGTTGTTCGCTTCTTCCTGTTGGGAAATATCCATCGACAAGGAAAGTATCTCTTGATATCATTTACCAATTAAAGAGAGAAAACCGAATAGAATCAGAGACAGAGCATCTCAGTAAATACTTTAGAATTCAATTAAAGGGTTCTCTTTTGTGCTGGAAAAGCAACATTTTATCTGGACATGTTTGTCCGTAAAAGAAAACTTTGAATTGTCCAGTTTTGCACCCGAAGACTTGTGCTGAAATTTCGCCGAAAACATTAAAGGGCCTCTCTCAGCAACTTACCAACATAATAAGAATCTAACTGCCAATTTTTTTAGGATCGAGTTTATTTCATGCATATTATTACAAAGGTTAAAAGGCATAAACAGATCGTGATAAAAGACACAAGCTGCTCAAACGATTGTTTTTTTATGGACAATCATTCTCAAAGCGTGCCAAAAGTTTGCCATGTTTGGTCATGTTTTAAAAAAGCTTATAATTAATGGTTTCGAATTATTCGCACGACCCATTGCGTGAAGGATCCGAGCCCAAAACATTTTCTGAGAAAACGAGGAAATTGTTGTAATATTCTTCTTGAGACCATTCGCGACCATTACGCGATGACAATTTCACAATAAACCTAACGCAAGGAGAGTCTATCGGTATATTTAAAAACATATTTCGTGGTAATTCTAACAAAAAATTACTCTTCTCTCGTATCAACATCATCATTAGTTATTTGTGATAAAACTGCGGTGAAAAAGCATTGATCTTTCTCCAAAATCGTATTTTTAGACGTCGAAACAACCTTTCGCTAGATATTCCCTTCTAGCGAGTTGTAACGTTTGCCCGGTGGCGGTTTTTCATAGACACTTATTCTCAAAGCGTGCTAAGAGTTTGCCATCGTCTGTTATGTCATTTTTTAACAAAGCTTATAAATGATGGTTTCGAACTATTCGCACGACCCGTTACGTGAGGGATCCGAACCCAAAACATTTTCTGAGAAAAACGAGGAAATTGTTGTAAGGTTCTTCCTGTTGGGAAATGTCCATCGACGAGGAGAGTATCACACGATATCATTTACAAATGAAAGAAAGGAAAACGAATATAATCGGAGACAGAACAATTCAGGAACTGCAAACACATTAAGAATTTAACGACCTATTATTTTAAGATCGAGTTCAATTAACCATGATTACGCTGGCCTCCTTAATTCACACCTCTTTTTGCTCCTCCCACTTCAAGCATGCGCAAACCTATTTGCAATCGACTGAATATTCCATATCAGAAGCGCCGCATAAAAGATTCCGTCTTGGTTCCCGCGTAGTGGGCGGGGTCGAGGGAAAAGCGGAGGTGAGACCACACAGCTTAAACTTATGCATCCATACATCACTATCGCAGCCATTCTTTTAATGGCTCAACCGCTCGTTTCTCCAACCACACAAACCGAAAGATCCTAACGTTTACACTTTTACGGCATTGTCATTGTCGACAAGTGAATATGAACTGTTTATAATCTCGTGCAGTCGATGAACAGAAAACAAATACTTATTATAGTTGCGGTAATGAAACGCGACGCACTGACACTTTTTTTTCGGGCTGTTGACTTAATAAAAAAAGATTCTGTCTTGGATCCCACGAAGTGGGCGGGGTTGGGGGAGAAAGTGGAGGCGAAACCACGAAAGCTTAATGCACCATTATTATGGGAGCTATTCTTTTGTATAAGTAAGGCGCTCCATCTCTCGAAATACACAGGCTAAAAGAATCACTCGTTCACACCCTTGCGACATTGTCAGTCGATGAGAAGAAAACAAAAATTTCGTTTACTTTTCGTATTTGGGCTGGACAAATTAACTCAGTCTATTATTTTCGTGTTGTTGCCCTAGCAGACAGCATGTTGTCGTTTTTTAGAACCCGCCTTAGTTTTTCCTCATTATAATGGCTGTTGTTTTTAGAAAAGAAACTGTTGAGTGATAAGGCACTCTAGCGCTCTTGGAAGGCATAAGGATAATCTCAAATTGCGTTTCTTCTTCTAATGAAATCTTAGCTCAGCTGGAGCGTTGCAAACGGTAGAAGGTTTGTCTGAAAAATATTTTGCGAAAATGAAAGCAACTTCGGATTACATTACACAGGCCAGTTGACTAATGGCTCTGTGTGTTCAGCATTTTCAGAATAATATACTTGCTTGCTTCCCAGTAGGGCCATAGGGAGAGATATGCATTTTAGAAAGGCAACCACCACAAACAACAATCAAATACAATTTTATAAATAGCTCGTCAAGTCCATTTTTAGAAAAGATGCGATTAAAATTCATGGGTCGTTAATTTTAATGCGATTAAATCCAGAGCGTTTACAAACAATCTTAGCCCCTCAGACCCCTCCCAAGTCACATTAAACCTAAACGGGGCGAAACCATTAACAAAATTTTGCATCAGAAATATTGTTTTATACATCTTGCGCAAAAGAGAAAAGAAATTTGGGAGTAGGGCGCAAACGTCAATAGCTCTCTACCCAGGCCCTGACCGCGCACATTCTTACAAGAACCAGGAGCTCCTGAAAGAACTGAAAAACGTGACTCATTTTCTTCCCCACAGGGAGTGACTTGGACAGCACATTCTACCAAATAAATCCTCACAAGTTCTCAATAGAATAATTTCGAAGTGATTAAAACATCTATCTACCAGAAATTGCATTGAAATGATTGCAGAACTCTATATAAAGCACTCTTTCGACATTGATAAAAGCAATTTTTTAAAAAGAGAAATTTAAGGTGACAGCACAACTAGAGGTTGAAGAGTGTTTAAGCGGGAGGATTTCTTATATTAACGACGCTTTTTTAACAACGCTCTATAGCTGTTACTTTTTGTAGCGGAAAACGACCTAAATCTACAAACTCACTTATCAACAACGAAACCAGTATATTGTGCTGATGAGTTGTCCGTAAATCGACCCATTTTCGTCGAAGACGCCCGCGCAGCATAAGCGCCATTATCAATAGCTCAGATATTTATTACTGCTTTTGCCGACACTTCCACAGAAAAAAAAACAGCTATGATTGTTGCATAATAATGTTGTAAAAGAAAACTGCTATGATTTAATTTTACGTTCTGTCACAAACACCAATCACAGAATGTTGATCAGATGAAAGTCCTGTTCTCAATATCATTCGACTCACTTTAAATGGCTAAATCTTGATTAAATGCATTCGCTTTCACTTATTTTCACCTTGGAGAAGCTATCAGCTTTTTAAAAACTGTTCTCGAGTGTTATTTTTACAGTAATTCAGAAAAATGTCTCACTTAAGAAAATAAAACTAAGTCAATGGCGATATTTCGTAACATCACCTCAAAGAAGAAAAAGAATGCTTTTGAAAATCCTAATATTTACTGTACATCGAAATTCCCCTGGAAAAAAAAAACTATTAACTCCTATTCTTCTTCGTCTCTTTACTCTTACCGTGAAGTGAAGGTGTATGCCCTTTTTTCCTGATGTTTTCTTCTAGCTCTTCCTTACTCTGGAGACTGAGGTATGTTTGATCTAATCCAATGTATCAGTGGCTAGTAACTCACGGCACACTAGCACAAGGTTCAGGATTTCTTCTGGTTTATGTCCACGAATTCCTCTTTTATAACGGAAACCAACGACCCCTACTGTTCCGCACTTCAGTGTGCATTTTAAATAGCCGCGCTAAGATCAAACTTAATGGTAGCTATTCTCACTTCCCCTCAATCAGTACACCATCTGTTGTTTACCTTCTTATCCAGCTACCTTCTGCTTCAATCTGATGTCTTTGGTTCGATGAAGTTTCATCTTGAATTTTTATGAATGGGGTTTTCGTATAATCTTCCGCAATCTGTTGTTCCAAACTTTCACAACTAACATTACTTGAAAATGACGTCATGCCATCTTACTAGAAGCTTACGATGTCTATGATGTTGACGTCATGCAAATCGCCAATTTATCCAAGATATTTATCTTCAAACTCTTGTAACTATGAAACAAAGAAGCACTTTTAATTTAGGTTTGTTTTCATGTCCTTTAGGTAAGTTTTACCTCGAGCACACGTGCGCTTTATTAGTCAAATTGCAACACACGCTTCTATGTCAGAACAAGAGGCAATTTTTGTCTCTTCGTGAGGAAAACCACAAGTAACCTAATGTCAAGGTGGTAAGCTGACGTGACACTTGCCCAACTAACGACGGGAACTTCAAATACATGCTAAAAGAACTCCGATGAAAGAAGATTGGAAATAGTAAGTGACATCCAGAAGAATGGAAACATCAAGTATTGGGTGGTTAAACGTTTGCTATCATTGGAAATGTATGTACAGCCTTTTCACAAACTCCTTCAGGCTGAAATTGTACTCTTCACTCTATTTGATTACATCACAGGCGGCCCAAGCTCACGTTTTGAGAAAAGCCAACGATCGATTAATTCATGAAAGCGTCACGCGTTGTGTGACTCGGTGTTGAGCTACGAGAGGAACCGTTGAAAATTTAAACACGTTATATGAAATAGTAGGAGGGAACAAAATATGGTCGGTTTACAACGATAGGTATTTCAAATATGAATATTTTACACGTAAAATCAATAAAATTGCTCACATCCTGTGTGTCCGTTGTAGTTTCTGGCGATTTCTGCCGTTTTAAGCGTGCTTTATCATCACTGTTATTCCTGTTGGGTCACACAACGCGTGACGCTTTCATTAATTAATCGTTGGCTTTTTCTCGAGACGTGAGCTTGGGCCGCCTGTGGTTACATAAAGGAGAATAATGGAACTAAACGCTATTTTTATGCTCCTGTTGCGCATCTTTTGACAGGAGTCCAATGGGTTCAAAAAAGGTGCAAAGTTTTTTACCGACCACGTGCGAGCATGTGTTCACTTCCACCGTGTCATTGAAGTTGCGGCAAAAGAACTACACTAATCCCCTCTCGACCAACTGGGCGAAGGGTGTTGACCAGGTGACAGAATGGTACTATTTTCGTCTATCTACCTGCTACCTCACTGCAACTCAGATGTTGTACTGTACGCGCATTTTGGAATCGTCGATATAAGAAAGGAAAATGCAAAGCTAGAGGTAGATTCTGGGTTCGTTCGGTGTAAAATAAATTGACATGGAATGCGTCATCTTCCTATTTTCTTGACATAACTTCTAGAATCAGTAAATTTAAAGAGTGAGGCGTTTCAAATCAATCAATCAATCAATCCAACTTTATTTATCGAGGGTAGCACGAAACAGTTACAATTACCTTAAAGCAGCGACAACAACAATAAGATACTTGCCAAAAACCTGACAAGCTTCTGGTTCGTTAAAGGTTGGGGTTGAGCGTAAGAGGTCATCAAAGGGCTTTTGGTCTCGACGTAATCTGACCCTTTGAAGGTTAAAGGTTGATTCGTAAGGGATCAGTGCCGGAGTCGATACGAGACTAATTATGTGTGATCGATCATATTTATCGGAGTAATGATGCAATTCAACGGTGCTTTTGTAGTGTATGATAAAATTAAAATATTTCTATTAGAAGTAAACAATGATTTGGCCCGAGTTCCACTTGGATCACAGCTTGAAGCCTCAATGGCTTTTTAAAATAGTACTTCCCCCTGCTGTACCCCATGGGCGTGCGCGTGATCATCGGGACAGATGCCGACGTCAGTTAACCAGTGTGTAAGAAAAGTGAGCAGGGTCGTATCTAGGTGGGGGAGGGAAGGGGGTCCGCAGAATGATTGTGTCACCCTCGCCCTCTTTTTCATCAAGGTACGAAAATATATTGAGTTTGTATAATAGCAACGGAACCGTGCAACTCCCAAAGTGAGTAAGACCCTCCAATACTTGAAGAAAATACTTTACAACGGTAGATGGGTTTTCGATAGAAAAAGCATTTTTAATCCTCGTCTACACTGTTCAAAGAGTAGAGAAAATGGGATTATATTTTACGGGATTGTTGTTGAATTGCTCTTCATAGAATCATGGGTTCTAAAGTTTTGTCACATAGCGTTACTTAAATCCGCCACATTGGCCAATGGTTATGTTTTCTTGCTTTGGCCAGCATCATTTTTCAAACGGAAAATGCAATTTCCGTGGGAAAGAGGGAGACGAATTTACGCCAAAAGTTGGTATTTTTAAACACTCAATTAGGAATAACCAGATAGGTGAATTAAATGGACAAATGTTTAAGTGGGGGATTTTCAAACAATTATCATGGTTGCGTGACACGTATGACAGACAGTTGAAGAATTTTTTTAAGGTTCACGGTTTTTTTTCAGCTTTACGAGAAGTATTTGCGTTCATGGAAAAAAAAAAAAAAAAAGAAAAAAAGAAAAAAAAAAGGAAAAATTCATGTCAGGGTGTCACGCATTTAGTGTTACGTGACCGGAAGGCTTATTCATTGTCACACAATGGAATTCTCCCCTGAATGTAATTTTCCGATCAAAGACAAAAACCACCAAACTTATTGTGCCATGTTTTTAATCCAGTACTTCGCCCCAAGGGCTAAACAAACCAGACAAATAATAACACTAAATGCATGCTTTAAATAAAACTCAGTTCTTTAACCTTTTAGCAGAGGAATGTTTTAAAATAGGTTTAAATATATAATAATTTTAAATTGGAAGGCTAATATTGTTAAGTTAAGGAGCGAAACTACAACACGGTTCTTTTCGTAGCATTCTACGGTTCGTCAAAATAATCTTGAAGACGTTTGGGCGGATCGTACTCGAGGCTTAACACACCCAGATTCCGGGGGGACAGTTCTTAACCGATCTCTGGACTCTCCTTCGCTGCTTCGACATTTTTTCCAGCATCGTTTTTCTTTTCGCTGCTTGTCGCTTACTAAAATGCACGCAGGTCCATACTCCAGGCGGGCAGGCGGCGGCGACGCCAGCGACGTTGTCGACTCCAACAGCAAAGTTCTCTTGGTTGGGTTCTTCAATCATCCTATAGTCGCGCGTTTCTGCGAGGCATGTCCATACACCGGGGGGACAATCACCAGCTCCTAAGGAACGTTTTATTCTCTCTAAGGGACTACTACTGCTTAAAGTTATGCTGAGCATAACGTAGAAAACAAATCCTGCCATTTGAATTGTGTTCATCTGCAAGAGAGTGGAGAAGGTCAATATTATCAAAAAATTAAACTGTTGTCTTCATTCCCCTGAGGAAAGTATTTTAGTAATTTGAAGCCGTTATTGATAAACTACAATATCAACCAACTAAGCAGCGCTGTCAAGTCACGTCTGCTTTAAATGTTTTGTTCTACTTGCGCGTGTTTTTGTCGTTGTTTTGCAAATTTTCCTCGGTCTGTAGCTAAGGTGGTTGAAGTGGATTATTCATAGAATATGCTTTTGAATGAAACTCGCACCTTGTAGGACAAAATCTTCTTAGATTGGTAAAGCTAGTGTTCTTGCGACAAAATTCACAGCCTTTCGATTGTGGCGAATCCTGATCCCAGAAGTTTTTGTCCTTCTATGCGCAGGGAAAATGTCCACGTTCTAAAATACCTCCCGGGATTGTGCCACACCTGCGGTGAACGCCGCTGGGAAGGAAAATGACGTCATATGCTTTTTACAGGTTTTTCGGCTTGAGTTTTGATAAGCTGTCAAGTAACCCAACGGGACTGCAATTTCAATTGTTTGTCAGAATTTGAAAGCATGTTGATAACTTTCGTCTTGAAAACAGCACGTTCTAATCAGTCGAATCCAGCTAACAGGCACGTGCTTCGATTACATAACTCAATTTTTGTTTAAAATTCGAAGCAAAAACGTCATTTCTCAATGATTTTCATCTGCACAGTCAGCATTATTGGGCTACTTCATCATTCAGATACCTGCTTAGGGTTCTTTCCATCGGGTGACAAAATAATCAATTTTATGGGGTATCTCTGTCATTTGCCAATTAGTTCCTCAGGTAGCATTGTTCTCAAAAAATGAGTACACATTGTAGAGGTGAAACCAATGGGTTAAAATTTTAGTTCCACCCGACCAAATTCGTAACTTGATATTTTATAGATGTATGTTCCACATCTCGTAACCTTTTTCGTTAATTATCCCAAGAGTCTTGATGCTTAAGTTTCTTAATGCATTTTGAAATTTAAATTTAAAATTTCCCAAGAGCGCAGCGCCCACACATTGAAAAAAAATCGTTCATAGATATAAATTGACCGTGCTTGGTCAATTAAGGAACATAACTGTTGCTTTTGCTTTTTCTACTTGAGGACAGTCCAAACTATTTCGGCAGCAAGACACTTAAATCAAGTAATAACCTAAACGAAACGACCTTTGATGCAGTTGATCCTGCTGAGCTTCTGAGCTTGTTCACATATATTTCAAGTGTACAAACAATTGGCGACTTCAACTGCCACTTCAAAATAGAGACGAATTTCGCACACGAAATGCTAAATAATTTCGAGTTCCTCTGCTCAAATGTTTAAACTGTAGAGTTACAATCGAAAACTCACTGGAAAATTACATCAAGTGTAAGCCTAACACGAAAGACAGACTTAAGTGACAGACACTCCTCCGAAGTTAATTTAAAGTTTCTTCGCTGAATAATGGCAATATTTTTTTGTAGTTTGACACGAATCAAATCGTGTTAATTAGAATCGAACTGAAACACTCGTAGTTTTCTATCTCTTACCTCGATTGTTTTTGTCTTTGAGGGCAGAAGTACAGATTTACCGGCCTTTTACTCGAAGTCAAACGCTCAAGCTTGCCTGCGCGTTCAGATATTGCTGGTTAATAACTTTTAATTTAAAACGTATCTGCCCTAAATAGTCATGGGACAGAGCTTGCGAAACAACATGATCGGTACCATTTCCGGAATAGATACTGGCAGATAAGGCTAAGTGTTATTGTTCCTGTACTTATGCATCCTGCTTTAAGGGGATGGAGGAAAAATTTGTGTCAAATGTAAACAGCCTTTAGAGTATTTGCTTATCATTAATAACTTGCCTTTCTTAAGGAATTAAATTGCCGGAACTTTTAAGGAAGATGCTCTAGAAAATCGATTTGCTTAAACACACAATTTTGCAGAAGAGATGATAAGATTCGGAAGATGGATGCTATTTTTTCATGTTTTAGATTATCCGAAACACAGAATTTTACTCAGCGACTGCCCTCAAAGCAAAACAACCAATATTATTGTCTGGAAACTAAAACAAACATCACAAATCCCTTGTTTGTCGACTGAAGAGTAAGAAAATGTGGTATTTAAAGTCAGTCAGATAAACGGCTTCTTATGGATATAAAAATAATCTGGGTGTACTCTTGCACGAAAATGGGATTTCCCACAAATATTCGTGATCACTGGTGTTGAAGGAAGCAGATTTTCTGCCGCCCCGTAATTGTCATGCAACAAATATCAAAGGGCTCTTCGATGATTGATGGAACCCAATCATATCGTCACTTACGGAGCAAGCGTTGAATAAAATTGATTTTACATAATTTATTCAAATCTTAATTGTTTGTTTGACATTGACGAACGCGAAAAGATATATTACGATATGATCGTATATAGTTTTAAGTTTCTTGATTTTATACCTGCCATAGAGGTGCACAGCAAAATTGATTATAACTTGTCTTTTAAAGGATTAGAATGAAAATACCAGTTTTCCTCTTAAAACTCCGACTTCATTCTATCGGTGTTTGCAAAACACTCAATATTGTAGTTTTTTCCTCTTTGTTAGCACTTCATCGTGTACGGAAGCTGTTGAAATCTATCTTTTAACCGCAGCTGGTTTGTCAACTGAGAAATCTCTAGAACGTGATACTTTTACGAGATGAAGAGTCAAAGCGAAATTAAAACTTAGTGTTCCTAAAATGGATCTTCTCTGACGATTGCTTCCTGAAAAAACCGCTCTTTAGATCAAAATCGCGCTCAACACTAGTGTGACGTAAAGGTAGCGATTCAGAGACCGAAATGGTGGGTATTGCACGTTCACAAATGCCGTATTTTCGTTGCAGGCTTATTTTTTTTGAGACATATGCCTATCTTCTCGTCTAGACACCTGTCGTCCAAATAATTGGCTCTTGGACTGTAACGACAACTCAATCTTGTCAAAAGGGTGTCACTCAGGTTCAACAGCTCTGGATATCAAAACGTTTTCCCTCTTAGAGGAAAAACGTAATGAGAGCAAATGTGTAAAGAAAGCTGCCGGGTGAAAGTTCTCTGAATTAACACATGCAAATTATTCTTTTTTGTGAGAGGGTGGAGAATTTTCTAGTGCTTAATAAAATTGGGTTGGAAGTGTTTCTGAGCCGGCGTTGACGTGATGATATCCCTCGTTTATGTCAACATCAACCAAAGCTTTCATTTTTTATCAACGAAAAACTGTAAATAGAATAACTTAATTTACTTCCAGATTTTGCGCATCCTTGAATCATAAGTGAAAAAGAAGATAGTATCACATTTTTACCACAAGTGTGGTCACATATATATCTTTATGTTGCCGGCACAGATTCATCCTCAATTTTCCTTGGCATATTTAAGCGCCTCTGAGGAGAAATTCCATACTTAATGTGGTAATAAAAATTACATTCTTAGAAAAAAATAGTTTGCAAAATATACCCCTGTACGTTCTCAAATATCTCGAAACTTCCCCCTCAAAACTGACCGGAAAACTGAAAAGATAATAAAAAGAAAGACGCCAGTAATACTCTTAAAGAAATTTGTAGACTGTTGTTACATTACATCTAAACGGAAATAATAAAGTTAGTTATATAGCTCATACCACTTCTTGGCCTTAGATACTGCAATGAAAAAATAATTCGCCGGAGTTAATTCGCTTTTTAATGCATTCAGCCACAGAAGAATTTGGATTTAAATTTTTTAACCAAATACAAGAGACAAAGCTTTAACTTTAAACGTGGCAGCATGTCAGTTAACCAAAATTCCGGGAATTAAATGGGTTTTTTACGAGTCAAGCTGCACAATTTTTGAGTCTTGTCTTAACTTTGGCATGCATGTTGAAGGAGAAATATTGCATGATAAATTATTGTTCAGTACAGGATAGCGTCTTTAGCACCATTATCGCCTCACAGTAAACCATTTAAGAAAGTTCACCTCTTAAACCAAGTTCTTGACCTTCAAGTTCTCTGTTAACAAGGCTTCCTGAGTCTGCTTCACGATTCTCTCATAATTCACCTTCATATCTTCTAAACATAGGCTATCTGTCTCCCTCTTTCTCTCTCTCTCTCCCTCAGTCACGTACCTTAACATACAATGTTCTTGTGCAACACAAAAAATCGTGCCAGCTCGATCTTACACGCATAAACAACAGGAAATTAGCTTAGGCGCTTACGTTTCAACGTCATTTTTATTCCTGTTAATGATTTGTTCCAAATTGGACATCGAGGCCTCTATCAACTTTAAGCTAACTACAACAACTTAAACCTCCGTTTTATGCTTTGATAAACGCACATCCCATTGTCAGAGCAATAACTCATGAGTTAATTCTAATTCCTTTAAGCTCAATCATCAATCATCCCTTTACATGACTTCCTCTTCCCATCGCTATCTCTCATTAGAATACAGTCACTTGGACCTGCGGTCAGCGGAAACAATATTCATTCTCAGGGAAAAATTTCCGCAATTTTCCCGATTATTCCACAAATGCCAACCTGAAGGCAGACGAGTATAATTGTAACATATCAGACAGTTATGAAATGTAATCACTGCAAACGAAATCTGGAATCCCCTGAAAAATGGAAAAGGAACTGCAAAAAGTCGTGAACTTTCATTTTTTCATTTAACTTCAAGATCTTGAGTTTGCATGGTTGGCATGGGCCAAATATATGTAAAACCTGCTTCTTTCCAAATATCCTTCGCTGAAGGATTAACTGACCAAAAAATTAAAAAAAAAAAAAAAAGAATACGCAAGGAATTAGATGTCTTGATTCCACTTTTGTTGATGACATTCCTGATAAATTAAACCAAAACAATCCGGCATTAAGTGGCCACAAACAAGTACTTTATAGTAATGCGGATAGCGGAAAAAGGAGTATTTAGATTACTTCAAGGTACAAAGTTCTGTGGCATTTTTTGGGGCGATGTAATATCTTAAGTCATATTTATCTTTCCTTCTGCTTTTTTAAATCGTCTTATTTAATAAACCAACCACGCTTCCCTTAAGTCAGGACCAAAATCTCTTTATAACGCCCACCACTAGATCCCTTTGCTCACAATCATCTGATTGATTGGCTACGAATCTCTAAACGCCACTTTAAGCCATGGCGACTTTTGGACTCCTGAAACATTGGACAGTCCAAACAGCACGTGGTATCAGCTGAAACTTTTTCAGCTGATTCACATTCATACCTATTGATTCTGTCCAACAACGTGTTCGAAAAGAACATGCAGGTTTTCTTGCGACTTTGCCGTGGCTTCACTCTCAAAACAAGTGCAGCTTCTCGTGACGCTCTAGTTTCCTGAACCTAAACAATTATAGCGAAATCAGGCAAGAGAGAGTGACTGAGTCATTTGACATTTTGATCAGTAATCTTTGAACCTGGGGTTATTACAAGTTACATAACAACAACGCATTTTTCTTCTTAGTGGCTCAATGAAGGGTTCCTCTTTTAAGTTACATTGAACAAGCCTCAGCAATTTGAACATATAAGATCTGCTACTCTTCATAGATATGCCAGTAAGGTTAGACTTCTCTCCTTTTATACCACACGCCTACGAAAGAGGAGGCCTCACTTTGTGAAAACAGGTTATCATTTAAAAAAAAGTTGATTGGCACTAATGAAACCGGAAAAGGATAAGACTTAACCTTGTTTCTCGTCTGGCGCGGTTCTCAATCAGGGACCTCTAGCGAAGTTTGCTCGCATGGAATGACGCTTTCCTCGTGTTTTTATTCCTTCCCACGTTTTTTCACTTGATCTCCACTCAACCAACGCCCCCAGCATGCAATGACAAGGGACCATTAACTAATTTTATCAGTTCGCGTCGCAAAAGTATTTCTCTCTTGTAGCCGATTTGACTGTAACCCATTAAACTCTCCTTTTTTAAAATGCTATATTCAACATTAAACATTCAGAGTCTCAATTTTCAAATTTTATCTGATACAATTTTTCACAGGATGAGGAACCAATTTGTCGTGATGAATATCCATTTGACTTTACGCAGTGTACGAACGTGCTGTGTCATGATATTTCGAGAGTTTAGGCCGGCGAGTACCTAAGTATAGCACGAGCTGTGATTTAAGTTCAAGCCGTGTCAAGAATGATTTTTTTTAGTGCCGATTGTCCTCTCGAATGCTTTTGTATCCGTGAAATTGATCGTGATACCCGATGGGAAAAAAAAATCTCCCACTAAATTTTAAATCTGAAACACTTAACCTTGAACTTATTTAGAATCGAGCAAAGAACTGAGAAAAAAATCATGGTTAAAGGCAAGGCTCAGTGTAATATCTTTGAGTTACATTTATTGTTAACTGATGTTTGTCGGTACTTTTATTGATAAGTTATGTTGGATACTTAGTGCATTGGATACGTACAAGCCTTCGTTCAAGCACCGCACACCGTGATGGAACCTGGAACCAGTAGCGTTTAATGCTCATAAGCAAACAACAACCGTCAGCGATATAAAATCTTTGCTTTCTAGTCAGAGGGAAAAGTTAGGATATGAAGAAGTGAAAAGCCTTCAAACCAATTCAACAACAGGAAAGGTTTGTGGATTTTTAGGCTTTCCAAACCCTCCACTGACACATACTAAGTTCAGTGATGTAAGCGGTATATGTCAAAATTTAATTTTACCTACTTTAAGTTAATTCGTGTTTCGCCAGTCTAATTAATGGATGAATGCGAAAGGAGAGAACTGTAGTAAAAAAAAGTGTTACACAAACTCTCAGGGCTAGGATAACGTGAAAAATACACAGCTGAAGTTTTAAAGAACCGAAGAACGACTTCAATTAAAAAGATACTTCATTACCTTTCTTGGTTTAAGTATTTTGCTCAGTGTGACTTATTTTGAACGCCTTCTCTGCTTTCCACCTCAAAGGGATGGTGCTACTTGGAATAAAGTCTTTATCCAATTTTGAATTCTCTTTTAGCGCGGTATAGCGTAGATCTTGGTAATTTGGTTTGCTGATAAATGAACATATTCTGCCTGCCACCCTTGCTAAACTTCGTAATAATCTCGTTCTATTTTTTGTTCAATTATTCTGCCCGGAATTCTAAACGTAAATCTGCTCGGAACATGCTGTCCTCCGGCTGTGTAAATTGAACACAACTTCTAGCGATTCAAACCCTCGACTGCTCGCTCGACAATCTCGCAAACTCGAAGCAAAATGGTCTTCATTAGTTATTCTCTGTACAATAGTAGCCTCGATATCAAAAATCAAAACAAAACTGTTTTCAAAATTAAAACCAACTGTAGTTCAAAATAACTCGTCTACAAAGTCGGAGCACTCCTTTACACAAAACGAATGTCATGCAGTTCAGTTCGAATATTGCTGCTGCGAGATGCATAAGGGATATTACACTGAGGCGAGAAGATATTAATTTTATGTTCACTGTGCTCGCTCGGAGATATTGTTCTTGCATGGAGGTAGGTGGTTTTCATCTTAGAGAACTTCTTAAATAAACCATTCTCTATTGTAATAGAGGTCTTGATTCCATCGGTTATCCATGGCTAACACTGGTCTACTTTTTTCGCTAAGAAAATTGCTTGATGAGTACATGGAGATCAGTAACCTCAGATATCTCAACGTGACAATTATCAAACATACTGCATAGTTCAGAAACATTTCTAAGTAACTGATCCTAGTTTCGTCATCAACATTACCATTTATATCATTTATTTGCCTTTTTAACAATAAGAAGAAATATAAATTTACAGCATTACAACTATTAGGAAAGGATACCTCAAGAAACCACCGAGCTTTCGTGAGAGTCCACCTTGCTTACAACAATGCATTTAAAAAAACTAAGTGTTTCGAATGAGCAGCTTGGCCAATTCAGTGTTTATTCTACTAAAACTCTTGACGAACTTGACGAACGAGTGACCGATACAGGGCGAGACTTTCAAATTTTAGGACCTGGGTAAAGAATTGTAGATTGCTTAAGATTCGTACGGCACAAATGCGTTTGATAATTAGTGGCATTCCTGGTGCCATAGCAGGATAATTATTGATTGTATCGGTTGTATGTTAATAATCAAGACTTGTTTATTTAAATTTAAATAGTCTCGTCTGAAAACTTTGATGTTGGCTGGTAAAGAGGATAATTTATGGTCAATGAGATAATTTGGTAGATGGTGGAGAAGTGTTGAAGGAAATTGAAGAAAATTTTGTCTATGAGAGGTACAGAGTGATCTGTTTTTCTGTGTGGCTTCAAAGTTTGAGGTTGAGAATAATATGAACCCAATCTTCTAACGAAGCACAATTTTTTGTTTTCACGATGAATTCGGTTTAAGAAGGTATCTAAATTGACATGAGGGTTTCTAAAAAAAAAAAAACTCCACAGATCGTATTTTAGCCTATATCTACGAATCATAAGGATTGACAATCATTCTTGACTTGAGCGGAGAAATCTGAACGATGAGAATATGCAAGATTGTTCTTTACATCGAGGCCAACTCCTTAGGCATTAGTATACAGCTTGGTTAGGACAAAATGCTGTTACCCTTATCACAAACATTGGAAAATACAACTCAGATAGCGTAACAACCAGGTTGCCAAAGTTAGCTTGCAAGCTCCTGATATTGCAATTTAAAAAGGAGAGTGAATTTCTTCACATATAATTTACAATATCTTGATTCGAATGGGGGTTATGTGTAGTGAAATAATTAAAATTTAGGCCAGAGAGCATATGGAGCTCAATATCTAAATTAGTGAGATGATTATGGAAGAAATTACATCTAGTCGAGGTAGTCAGACATAGCTGGATGGATAACAGGAGCCATTAGGGAAAGAGGCTCCACCAGGAAGCTCTTAATTACAAATCATTTAGGTGGCATCAAGCAGAATTTATCTCTTAAGACGATGGAATGTTAGCAGACAAGTTTAAGCCATGAGAGAGAGAGGCAGACATAAAATCGCATTTACCTTAAAAATTATCCTTTTCAATCTCACCAAATCTAAGTGAAAACTATCAATCATATAATCTAGGCGTGGGGGCTGAAACTACTCAACACAAGCCTTGACATACGTCTCTGAAGTAGGAAAAATGATAAACTAGATATAAAGTACTTACCAAAAATGCAGGTGTGTTTTCTATTCATAGCAGATGTAAATGGTTTGAAATTGATGTCAAAACAGTTCGAAGATAGACAACGATGGTAATGATCTGTAAGTAGAATGAAAAAGACGGTAAGTTGTAAGCTCGATCAAAAAATAGAGAAGGATGGTTTTCGTCTTGTCACGAGCGTGATAATGATCATTCTTTGCCGTTCTAGATCACTGAGTCAGCGAAGCCTTGATAAAAGTATTTTATATATTGCCTAATTATAACTCAGTCATGTGTGTTAAATTGAAAGCGAACTCTCTTTGTTTTATTTTCAGTGTTATCGCTGTTTTTTATGGGACATACCATTCTACTACGAATGAAATTGAAAAGGAAAAAAACTACGAAAAGGTAAAAATTTCCCAACCCAAACAACACAAATCGACGGGCGAAAATTGCAAAGTGGGCGATGTAGTCCTTTAACGAAACTATGACTGCCAAAATGGTAAACACCGGGAGACTCATGAACATAACGAAGTGTAGCCGACTAGTTGTATATTATCGGTTTTCTATCTCGCCTCTGCTGTTTTCTGATGGTCATTTCTCTTCAGCCGAAATAAAAATCTTTACAATTGTGAATCAACAACAGAAAGAGTAAAGATCCATGAACTGACCTTCAATTCATCAACTCAAGGATTCAGTTTCTTGTTTTTGCTCCATTTATATCTGGCTAAGTTTTGGCGCGACAAAGCTAAGGAAGCTCCTTTGATTCTTTTGTTGCATTTTCTGTATTGCAATAATCAAGACTTAACCATGTCAAAGTTTGGCCCTGTATTCTTTCTATCTGTCTGTCCCTAGACTAGTGAACACGAAGAGAACCTGTAAATATACACCGAAAATTAAGGGTGGAATAATTACCTTAAGTGTTTTTCTTTGAACAGTTGGAGAGGCCTGAAGATATTGCATTTATGCGCACATATATATTACAATCACGTACGTGACGTTATCCAGTCGGAAGGTGGCTGAATAAAACAGCTCTCTCTTGAGTGTAGCAAAGGGGAGTCCTGATCCTGTTTCTCACAAAAAAATTAGGAAATTTACTGTCACGTATATAAACTAAAGGGAAAACTTCCATGTCTTTCTTCTTGTGTCCAAAGTTTCAGGGAAATCTTAACGTTTTCACGAAATGAAAGAAAAAATCACAGGTCACGTACATTACAGGAAGCAAATCAGGCCTCACATTGTTTCATAAATTCACAAATCACTCTCACCTTTCTGCAAAATTCACGCGTCGCATATCAATTTCGCCTCAAGGGATTTCGTCGACGCTTATCTAGTGTAGCTTGAAAAACAGCAGCACCCTGTTAACTCAAAATGCCCGTGGAAAAGAAAAACAGATCAAGATATTGCGGAGTTCTGGTTGACCGACAGTTAATGACCAGAAGTATATAACCTAGTGTCTGCTTCGGTAATAAATAAAAGTGCTGTTAAAGCCGAATGTTCAAGTTCAAATTCAGTTAGGTTCGGGTTCGAGAGAATGATATTCCTAAAATTACAACATTATTTGTAGCTCTCTGTTGAAAATATTACTTTAAATTGAAAATATGTCTAAAGTGAGGAATCCTACTTCGTGTTGTATTTGAACGTATCAGACCGAAGAACTCGGCGTCCGGATTGCTTGAACCCGCCCTTGAAGTCGTAAAACTCATTTGAATTACAAAGGATTTTTAAAATCAATATTCATATTTGCGCTCAGCCTTGCACGAGGAAAGAGCTTACGAACTACGAAAAATTTGAGCGTCTTTTTTAGCTTCTATTGATTCAAAAATAAGGTTATTTCGGCCCTATTACCATGTCTATTACCTATTACCACGGCGAGCTTTTCTTATGCTGGAGGAAGTGGTTTTAATATCATGTCGAGGATTCATGGTGTTCAATTTGCCGGTCACGATATATTTCAGGTAAATAATCTATAGAGAGATAAATATGGACAATAATGCAGTGTTCATTTTACTTGTTGTATCCCTTGTAAAATTGATCTACGGAGTTAAATGTGAAAAGGAAGAGCGTGATACACAGCACAACGTAAGACAAATCCTTAGCGACAGCTGCCATGACAGTTCTTCTCAAACGTGACTCCAGTGTCAACGCGAGAAATTCGCTTATTTATGTATTTCTCTTTTCATTCTTATACAAATTTTCAGCTAGTTTTATGGTCATAGTGCGTTGACCTAGAGTGTTTTTTAAACGCTTCCCATTAGCTCCAAAATCGCTGACCAAAGAAGGAGAGGATTACTGCTCCGTTTATGTTGGTTTTAAAATACGAATTTCAAAGAAACACTTATCATTGTTGGCAGCATTTAGCTCGTCAAATAACAGTATCAAATTTAATAGGTATGCCTATAGTCACATCGTTTTTCCATGGTAACAGTATGCTTGTCAAATATCCATAAAGTTCTTCGCTAAAAGCCCAATAGTGAAAGTTAGCTGATTATTCCCAATTAATTACAAATTTTGTTTCCGAATGCTAAGTAAGTTATTACAATGAAAATTCCTGATATCTTTGTTCAATAAAACCAGAGGACATTAAATTTGACAGCAGAATTTGTGGTGGCTTGAAGTGAGTTTTTCGATCTAGTCGTTCAACTTTTTTCCTTAATTATTAAGAATAAAAAGCACGCAAGTATGTACGTATCCAACCATATCTTTGCCTCTTTTTTCTCTATAAAACAGTATCAATAAGAAAACGAGAGCACCTTGAAACAAAGAAAGTCAAGGAAGAAAAGGAATACCTTCCAACTTCTAACAAGGTTAGATCATTGGATTTTAACAACATGTCAGCTATCTGGGCCTGTTCATCTGCGTTAATTGAACAATTTAACCTGGTTTTACCCTATGTTTGCGATTCAAAACTATCTCAGTCGGTAATGAAGAACAACTGCAAATTAAGAAAATAATTAATTTCTTCATTGTCTGATTACTTGAATCTCTTCTTAATTGAGGTGGCCTTCAGTTGTTTTCAGCAGTGTTCGTTTAATGAATAAATTATACCATAAATACCTTTCATCTGTTTCAAAAGCGTCAGAGAAATACCTTGTCACCCTTGTGCATGTCAAGACTATCCATCTGTGCTTGCAAATTACCATAGCAACGGTTAAGCCTATCAAATTATCTTTAATTTCTAAGATTTGTGAATCATCGTAAGAATGATGTCGATCATCCAATTAGAATCCAACTTTTACTAAATCGTTTTGAAAAGGTACTTGATACAAAAGTGCAGACATTTCACAAACTATCTCTCTCTGGCTTAGGAAATTTCTCATCCAAGACCTTGAATTTCTCGGATATTTGCATTTGAATTCGTGCTCGCATCAAAAGGATTGTCTGAATCTAGCCTGGTTCTACACAAAGGTTAGTTTTTTTGTGACTTTCTGATAGAGGTCATACTGCCCTTGGTCGCGATTAGAATCTGCAAAATATTTCAGGATGCTCTACTTTCGCAAGGCAATCTTTATCCGAGTAAAGTGATAAAAAAAGGAAGGAAAGCGCCGAGCTTATTTGTTTTCTGAGCACTTACAACAGATAATAGGCCGAGAAATTTTCTTGGGTGATGGTCATAAGACGTTAAAGAAGGTTTTCATTTGATGACAAATTTTGGTCAGCCTTAAGTCTGAATGTATCGGCTCTTGAGCCAAAAAAAGTTTAGCATGTTCAGGAGTTCTCAAACTAAGATACATGAATTTTTTTAGATCTCCAGTAAGTTTAGAGTCTGATTATTTCTTTCAATATTACTTCCTTGGATAAGGTCCTTGAAGCGCAATTATTGAATATGTCATCCCCTGAGGCAAACAAGCAAAATTCAAGTATGCAGTACCACAATTATCATTTCTTGATTTTTTTTCCAGAATTCTTTTTGAGATTTCTGACAAGTTTAATTCTCCTATAGTATCTTACATATATGAATATTATTTCAATTTAAATTGTTAACCCTTAAGAGCCTGATTGTTATGAATTCGAGTCGTAAACCAAATTAAAAGTGATCACTCGAAAAGTAGATATTACAGTGTTTCTTGTGTTTAACATCAATTTATACGAGACTTTTATTGACGTGATTCAATAAGAACCTTCAAGCCTTAGCACTAACATTGTCTAAGCTCAAGAGACTAAAACCAAATTATTATAGAATACTCCAAGATTAGTGTTTTTCCCCAAGTAGTCTCCTGAATTTATCTTCAACTGACATAGATCTGTTTTTGTTGACGTGATCTCAAAAAGAATTTCAGAGACTAATATATTGAAAATGTATGAGCTGTTAGGCTTAAAAAACAAACTGGGAAAAGATGTTCCATAAAATGCTGTTTGTTTTTTAAAAAGCATTTTAGGTTTATCATCAATTGATATATTATTTCATCTTAACTTGATTTATGAAAAATTCTCGAGCCTAATCACAAACAATTATCCTACGAGTTGCATCGAATATGAGATGATATATAACCAGTGAGGTGCGTAGCGCCAGGTTGGTTAAGATAATATCATAGTCGGCAAGCTTGAGTACGCTAACTTTTTTACTAAAAGTGTACACAAAAAAACAATTATAAGCAATAACATGATTTCTCTTGCAAATTGATGTTAATAAGCACCAGTAAATTTTTCAGAGACAACAAAATTGCACGAGCCCTACGGGCTCGTGCAATTTGTAGTCTTTTAAAAACTTAACAAGTGCTTAATAAACCAAATTGCAAGAGAAATCATGTTATTACTTGTTCATAGTTTACATGAAAAAATATCACCGGAGGCCAAGACAGACGAAATTTTGAAAGTGTGCGCAACCTATTTGTAATTTGCATTCGTGTTACAACTTTGTCCTCGTGTTACACGAAAATGCATTCGTCCTCAGTCAGAAGCGCGTAATTTTTTGTGTGTGTGTACATTATTACTCTTATTACCAACTAGATTACAGCAAATAAACACTGCTTAATTTTCCGTTGCATACCTTGAAATATTTTATATCAAATTTAGCAGTTTCTTATGGTGGATATAGGAGTTGTATTTTCTATTAGTTCTGTTAATTCGTTGTAGTAGATGTAAGCTCTGGGTTAAACTCATACTTTTCGGCCATTGCTCAATGACGACTCGCTAACAGAGCCGGGGATTTCGCTAACGAATTCATTTACTAAATTTGTCGGAGCTTGTTTATGAGCCAGGGGCTAGCTTACAAACTCAGAATACGGCCTCATTCAGCCAATCATAAGGTTAGAAATTCAATAACTGTGATCCACTTTGTACTAATCCAAAATGTTTGAGCTCTTGAGCCAAGCTACATCCAAATTGAACAGTAAGTTCAAAAGTCGGTTTTAGTCTCTCAAATTGCTTCTAGAGTTTTTCATCAATGGCATGGTACATTAATTCTTTTTTAACGAGTTTTGATAAAAATGTCAAGGCCTTTTTTTTTCGCACTTCTGAGCTCTTTACGCTGAAACCAACTGACAGAGTCTGTTCAGCAATTGATATCTGTTTCTCTAATCTTGTTTAACGTTTATCATCTACGGTGGCCGGTAAGAACAAAACAGAGTCACAAAACCTACAACACAAACACAAACTTAAAACAGAATAAAAAAATCCGCAACACTAACACAAAACTCAAAACCTAATTGCAAAACTTAGGACATGAATATAAAACTTAAAATAGCTTCTCAAAACCCATAACACTAACACAAAAATCAAAATATAATTACAAAACCCACAACACGAATGCAAAACTCGTACAAACACGTTCGTAACAATGCCGACTAACACAAAGGATAATAAATGGCTTTGTTTCATTTACCGTACGTGAAAAAACATATCCGGAAAACATGTCCACAAAAGGCGTCAAATAATTAATACAAAGAAACTTTGATGACCAGGCCCCGGTTGTTCGAAGATTGGATAACGGTATCCACTGGATAAATCTCTATCCGGTGGATAACGCTAAACGTTTTGCTATTACTTATCCGCTGGATAGCGATAATCCGTTGGATATTGTTATCCGCCCTTCATACAACTGGGCCCAGAAAGATAAATTTCTTTGTTTCATTTACCGTGCGTGGGAAATCATATCCGGAAAAAATAACCACAAAAGGCGTAATATGATTGATACAAAGAGCCTTTAAAGACTAGAAAGGAAATACAAAAAACCTTAAATTAACAGCAACAAAGCCTCAGTAAAATAAATTTTTCTTAGCTTAAAATAAACAAAGGAAAATCTCCAATAAAAGAATGTTTGTGCGACTTCCAGTGGCGAATCCAGACTTCATTCTAAGGTGGGTAACCGAAAAATTTTCCTGCCCTTCGGGCTTTAAATTAAGGTGGGGCCTTAAAAAATTTTTGGCCTTTCGGGCCTTAAAATTTTCGCTTATAAGGGGGAGGGGGGGCCCGGGCCCCCTGGTCCCCTTCCGTTAGATCCGCCACTGACTCTAATAGAAGCCAAACATTTCTATCAAGTTTTTTCACCAAAAGACGACAGTCACGGAATGTTTTGGGGTGACGCGAGAAAGAGCGGAAAACGCCCTTTTGTCCCCAGACTTCCAATCCAAGTTTCGGTTTACTGTGACACGCGCGATGTTGCATACTGACTGGCTTTCTTGTTCTTCTGAGCTTTAAGTTTGTGTTTCGAGCTTTGTGTTAGCATTTACGTTTTACGATTGCGTGTCGTGTTTTGTGATAGTGTTTTAGGTTTGCGTTTCATGTTTCAAGTTTTGTGATAGTATTTTAAGTTTTGTGTTTGTGTTTTAAGTTTTGTGTTAGCATTTACGTTTTGCGATTGTGTGACATGTTTTGTGTCAGTGTTTAAGGTTTTGTGTCCGTGATTCAAGTTTTGTGTTACTGTTTTTGGTTTTGTGTTTCATGTTTCAAGTTTTGAGTCAGTGTTTTAGATTTTGTGTTTGTGTTTCAGGTTTTGAGTTGCTGTTTTAGATTTTGTATTTGTGTTTTAAATTTTGTGTTAGTGTTTTAGGATTTGTGATTCAGTTTTGTTCCTACCGGCCACTGTAATCATCAACTCATGTAACACTTTTTGAGGGTGATTCAATAAAAATCGTGGAGCCCAATCATTGATAATATTTTAGCTCTTGAGACAAAAATAAAATTTAAAAAGTATGCTCCAAAACTTGATATTTGTATCTCAAAGTGCTGAGAAACTGATCATGAGAAATAATTTTTTGACATATTCAGCTCTTGAGGCTGAAAGCAAATTGAAATAACATGCTCTACAGAATTGATATTTTTCGATTTTTCGATTCGCGGAATTCGTTCTTAAATTTCAGAGCGTTTCTTAATTTTTTAGTAGAAATTTCTGGAGTTTAGCCAGCTCTTTACAATTTACAAGCTTTCCATTGTTGTGAGACGTCAATCCATTTTTATTCGTGATTGTTATTCGCGTATTCACGAACTCTCATAAATTTACACTCATCAGGAGTTACATTGACATGCTCCTGTTTTCACTTTTATGGCTTTCTCGACGAAAACATGAAGAAGAGCAAAGTATTTCATTTGAACAGGTACTCTGCGAACAATCAGAGATATATTTTATGCAACCAGAAACTAAATGTTTGCCATTATTGCATAAAAATTCCTTCGTTACTTCAGAGGGATTGCTGGCGAGCATTTCGATTAACTGCTTGTTGTTGCTGGACTGAAATTATAAACGTTCGGCTCAAAATGAAATGATTTAAATGCCTGAAAACAAATTTAATATAAAGTCATTTCGACGACAACAGCTACAACAAAATTCCTCCATTTTATTGGAATGTATCTTTAAATCTAGGTTACATTCACCTTTAGTTGTTAAGTCACACAGTAAATAAAGATTTTAATACTAAATTTTACTCGCCTAACTTTAAAAAATATATGTCTGCAAGAACCCAACACTAAATTATTATCGCTTGAGAGAGCAAGGGTTTTAATTCATGTTTTATCTTCATTTGTTTGCAGACTGAGTGGTGAATATCTCTGATGCTTCAAGCAGACCAAGCACGTATCAAATAAGACTGCGATCCAAGTGATAAACACGATTTACTCAGAGGTACAAAACGGATGTAGCGCACTTTTTACAGAAAAAAATTTTGAGTCAGAGCGAAGACTCAAGCGTCAAAATTGGAGACTGAAAAGTAGATATTTCGTGATTAAGGGCTTTTTGAGGAAAAAAATTTTCCCGCCAAAAAACTTACGGGTGCTTATAATACGCATGCGTCAATTATTTCTCTAGTAACATTTGTTAAATGTGGCGAATTTTCCCGCCAAAAGACTTACAAAAAATACGGCGCTCAAAATACGCATGCGCCATTTTTAAAAAAAAATTAAGATATATTCTATATTGCTAATAAGTTTAATCATTTTTGTTGTTGTCTTGTATTGTCATCTAGTAGCAATAAATAAAGTACCGTGATCAGTTTTTGTCTTATACTTTATTGTCCTACATATGTACTCAATAAACCACAAGTTTCATATTCAATGAAGTATTTTATTTGTTTTGAATTCTCTTTCATTACAAGTTGATTAGTTGAGTAATTTTCAATTAAATAAATTTGAAAGGCGTCAAGGAAAATTTTTCATATATATATACTAAGACTTTTGGCGGGAAATTCTGGACCAATTTGCACCGAGTTTCCCATGACAACGTTTTCGGCAAAAATTTTATCAGGGCATCCTTTACAAAAATTCCCGTCAAAAAAATTAAACAGCATCTCGTGCAAAAATAATTGAAGAGTAATCGCCATTTTCTCGTTCACACTTAAAAAAAACAAAACATTCTAGAAAGTTCTTTCAAAGAAACTACGACTCGACATGTCTATATATCTCTAAACCGTTTTATACTTCAATTCTTTGCACGAGAAAATTTGTGGACGTTAACCCGTAACGAAAGAGCATCATGGCAAACTAGAGAGTATCTAATCAGAAATGTTAAATTCATCTCCAAAATTGTAATAACGTTTTTGTTAATTCAAAGTTTTTTTAAATCGAATAGTTTTTTTTTGTAAGCCTTTAGCTTGCCATGATATCTTTTTCAGAGTAAAAAGATCTCTTAAGTCGCCAGTTTCGAATATCACACAGGATGTAAAAGAACGGAAAAAAAAAGATTATCCAAGAATTTGATTTTAGCTACAAAAGCTAAAGATTTTACAATCAGGCTCCAAATTTCTTATACTAACTTCGCTAAACTTTTGAGCCGCGAACAAATATGATCAATTAAGCTGCAATAACTAAGACATTTTGTAGATAGGGTCCAAATGTTTATCAGATTCTCGTGGAAATTTGACAAAAAAGTATCAGTAAAAGTTTGGAGGGGCCTCTTCCAATTTGGTTTCAGCCTTCAAAAGCTAACAGGTGTAACTACGGGGCTCCAAGTTTCTTAAACCCGATTTGAGAAGCAATTTGAGACTCAAAATAGTATAAGTTATAGGAGCAAACTTTTCAAATTCGATTTTTGCCTCTTAGGGGCTGAGGCATTTCACAGTTAGGCTCCAAGTTACCATTGATAAATTCTTATAGCGAATAATTTCGAGAGATTTTGTCGTCAGACGCGTTCAATTTCTGTTTCATTTTGAGCTGAATTTGAGGAGCAAAATCTCAAGCTTTTACTAATCGTTTTTATTTTTAAACGTATTCCTGTGTTATATCGAGTGACTGCCCAAAAGATCTTTCTTCCACTTACAATAAGGAATAAATAAACTAGCGGAGATACATTTTAAAACCAAATGCCTGGTCCGACTTAATTGATATGTTTTTCAGACGACTTAAGTTCGTATGAAAGAAAAAATGTCATATTAGCCAGCAAAATGACGATCGTTGCGGGAAGCAATCAAAGGCACTAGCTTTTCAAAGCGAGGACTTAATTAACTTATTTATTTTCCACAACTTGAACTTTGACTTGAAAAGAACTTGTATTTTTGGTTCGTGCACCGGTTTCGCAAAAATCACCGAGCTCTCTGTGCAAATGTCAATTCTAAAATGAGAAAAAATATTTATAATTCGTTAAATGCTTATAAAACTCGTCATAGATCTGTGAAAGCATTCAATATGAAAACATGACAACTCTTTTATTTGATAGACTATCTGATCTTCTTTGATTTGGATTTCTGATTTCAACTTTCGTCTGAAGTAAATCTGTTTTAACAGGAAGTATCTTAAGTCGTGATGAGCAAATAAGAATGCAAACAAAATTCTAGTCAATAGACCTAGTCGTCGTTTACTGGTCGAAAGATTGGCTCGCATATTCACGTTGATTTTCGTCCAATCTGTAAACTATTTTTCAACGGTTTTCGAAACAATTCACTAACTTTATTTCTATCAAATAACTGATCTTTCTTTGAGATATGAAAATCTACTTCTTCAGCGTGAAATGTGGTAAAATTAAAACTGGTTTACACGGTGGTAACTTTCAATTTGTTTAGTTTCTCGACAGAGCTCGTGACCGGGCATTGGAGTTTTAAAACATATATCACTTCCGAACGGAAACCAAACCCAGCTGATGACACAAAGTAACGGATAACATATAAGATGGCACTGCAATAAATTCTTGCTTTGTGAATGAAAAACAAATACTTTCGTTTTTAAATAAAGTTCCTAAATCCTAAGTTTATTACAGTTCATGCCAAAAATGAATTTTTCATGAATTGAATCAATATTTTTTTGGCCAATGTTTTCTCTTGGTATCATTCAGTTGTCAATGATTAAGTACGATCGTTTGGGTGAGAGTAGTTCAGAAAAGGTTTGTTGTTGAAATTAGACACTGGCCTGAGCACAAGTCATCAGAATCGAATGAACAATTGTATGTCAGTCGAGCGTTACAACTTTGGTTTGTTACAGTGATAGATCAGTTTTGCAGTAAAGTGGCTCAGTGTCAGATTCAAAAGGCGTTCGTCCGTTGATCAGTCGATAAGTTTACTTTGTTCTGTTTGATCTATTGGTGACAGCGTGATTCTTTTTTAATGAAGTCGTTCTTAAGGTGCCGATACTTATTTTAATTTGTTGTGAGGAGTCGTAAGTAAAGTAGGGGTTCATTGACGTGATTTTGGATGTAAAGAAGATGCCCAAAATTAAACAAACTCGTTGAAAGATCAAAGTAAAATTTCCGCACAGCCCCATACTATTGTAAAACAAATCTGTTTTCCCAATTGCAATGTATTGTTTTTGTTGTGGTTTTCTCTATCCAAGAACTGAATGCATAATGTAATAGGATGTGACTGTGCGGAAATTCTACTGATCTCAAATTTTGAATGCCATTTCATCTTTGTGCGGCAGAAGTATTTTGTCAGAGTGCCACCTTAATATTACCTTTGTGCGACGTCAACTAAGTTATCGCTGTGATACCAGCTGTTGGACAAACCATATAACACGAGCGATCAGAGCCTTGAAATTAATAATTTAAGTGTCAGCATTTTTTAGCCAGGATTATTTTAGTTTTCAGTTGTTTCTGTCTCAAATTCTATGCAACATAAATATTTGAGATGAAATACACCAAATTACAGCTGGTAATTCAAACAAATCAAATGATCGCTCAGGATCTGCCTTACAATTGTAAAACAACAAACTACTTCAAAAATGGTGGCTAATCAAGAATTATTCACTTGCCATGATAACAGTTTAATCCATCCCATGACCACTGGTGAAAGAACGAAGACTTCGTACAACAATTAAGCATGTAAGGTGCCACCATTTTTGCTAGTATCACTAAATGATTTTAAAGTCTCGGCTTATCTTTGCAGTATCCACTAAAAATTGTCTTCTCTTGACCAATATCTCTGTTCTGTCATCCGTCTGACAACATTCGTCTTCCTGAAAGTAGAAAATGTGCAGGTGAGCGGGGAATATTTACTTTTCATGAGGACAAAAACTAAAGCAAAATTTTGTGTAATTGTTTTGCGCTTTGACTCAATAATAGCGAAAAGGAAAGTATCAAAATTTCAAAATGTTATTTACAGTGAAGCCACAGAGGAAAAGAGTCATAACAACTCCACGTGGCTGCATTAAAATACAAAACGAAGTCCCCAATACATTTAAGAAGCAAACGATTTCAGTGAGAGTTTCGCTAAAACTGTTTTAAAGTCATTGGCTCTGTTTTTCTCGGAGTCAGCTCCCGAATTTAGTCGAATTTGGAATTGAAGAGCCGCTCAGACCGAGCAACCAATTCGTGTTACGTCGTTGGACTGAGATAATACGACTCGTTTAGACCTTATCAAGGAGCTTAAGGTGACTATTTTCCAAGGGCAATGCTCACCTACTGTTGTTGTGACATAAAAGTGCTTTCGTTGCTTTTGTACAGGTCCAGTGTCTTTTTCCTTCTAGAGCACGTTGTAGTATAGTATAACGGACGACATGTCTTCATTCTACGACAAACAGCGTGGTTTGATGAAAATTCTAACATTATGAATATGGATTAACAGCTGCAGCCAATAATCGGATGCCGCACACGTAGGCTACGTCGCACATTTGGTGCGGAATTCCGTCTGCATGCTCAACCAGCTAATGAAGCTAAAATGAAAGGCTTTGTGAGTGACGGATTGGCATGTGACAAGAGGGAAAAAATTCACAGCTACTCTATTTTAGGAACTACTATGTGACAAGGAAATTACTCTGATAATTTCAAAGAGCCAATTTGGAAGACTGATTTCATTAAAAGCAGTAGATCCCTGAAATGAATAAAGAAATATAGAAGGCCTCAATTAGAAATTGCACGAAGAAATAAATAGTTGTTCGTTTTCCTCTCACGGAGGGATTGTAAAAAAAAGGAGAACGGAAAAATTATGATGACGCATTGTAATTAAACGTTGAAGGAGAAAAAATGGAGAAATTAACGCATTGTTACTCTCTCATGAAGGATAAACAAAACTAAAATTACGCAAGATGAATTCAAAGCGCTGTCGTCTATCACTCAAGGAGATAGCGACGTGGACCGGCTTTGTTATACTTCTTATCGACAAAGTGGCCAGGCAAACGGCGCATCGAGTTACAGTAGTCCTAGCGGTTAGAATAACAAGAGGAAACACAAAAGAAAATAAATTTGAAGGGTTGTGAATGAGGATGTTCATTTATCTTGTCTCGAACGTGAGACGAAGAAAAAAAACATTTTGAGTCCCCATAAGACTTCCTGATTTAACGCCCTGATCACTGAGCCACAGAGACTCCCTGATGAGCCATGCAAATGCCATCAGGTCCATGCATATGCGACACGCATCCTGCCTATAGCTACGATACTGCTACATCGAAAGTTTGCAAGACAGAGACAAGAAGAACAAATGAAAATCTACCTTTAATTTTCATTTGCATGGAACGAATGTTTCCTGAATTCACACAACAACCTGGAAAAATCGAACTTTCGGGGCATATTTATAAATGAGTTATTTACTCATGTCTCCAAAGCTAACCTAAAACCATTAATTGAGATGTAAAGTTTACCAACTTTTAACAATTACGAAAAAAATGTTCGACATAAGTCGATAAGCTAAACGGAAAACCAGAACTTCGGGGCATATTTATAAAATGAGTTATTTACCCATGTCTCCAAAGCTAACCTAAAACTATTAATTGAGACGTGAAGTTTACCAACTTTTGATAATTACGAAAAACATGTTTGACATAAGTCAATAAGCTAATTGAAAACCCGAACTTTCAGGGCATATTTATAAAATGAGTTATTTACCCATGTCCCCAAAGCTAACCGAAAACAATTAATTTGGGTCGTAAAGTTTACCAACTTTTAACAATTACGAAAAACATGTTTGAAAAAAAAAAATTGAAAGGCACTTCTAATCTCTGGAAGGGAAAATTTGAAAACTTGGGACAATTTTTGGATTGAAAAGAAAATATCAGATTTCCCCAACACGTCCTAATAAAAAATGACAGAGCGAAAGAGTCCTGCTAAGTGAAATTGTAGAAGATTTTTTTGACAACCCGTAAGGCGAAGGTCACTAGTAGGAATATAAATAAAGGGGTATTTAGCAGGTGAATATAACTTGCGCGTTCAAAGGCCTTTCATTTCTCGACAACGAGCAGGACAAGATTTTTAAACATCTAGTTGAAACATGACAACATGGTTTTGGATCATTGGCTGGTTTCTTACAATCCTTACCATTACAGGGAACGGCCTCATTATCTTCCTGATTTGTAAGCGAAAGCAGCTTCGCACCAAAACCAACGCGTTTGTGGCGTCATTAGCTGTGGCTGATTTCTGTGTTGGGATGACTGTTGTTCCTGCGTTATTCATCTTTAAGGAAACAGTTTCCGAAACTGAACTATCAAATAAGGTCCAGCTCTACGTGAGGTTGTTTTTTGTGAGGGCGTCAGTCACGAATTTATGCAGTCTGGTGTTAGATCGCTTCGTGGCCGTCGTGAAACCATTTAAATACTTGACATTTATGACGCGTAGCCGAGTAATTCAAATAGTTTTCTTGTCATGGGCCTTTCCAACAATTTTTATCACAGTGAGAGCATCTCTCCACTTTGCCTTCCAAGTGCGACACCTCGATAACATCTTCAATTGGTTAGACACATTCAGTTTTAAACTCGTCCCCTGTGTCATATTAGTCTTCTGCTTTGCATGTATGCTAACTATTATTTGTAGGCACCATCGAAAAATGCGTACTCTTGTAAAACAAATACGTTCCAACGCAACCGTTTTCTTTCGACCTCAAGAAAATGCCGCCGTTAAAATAATGGCCATCGTTATTGTGGTGTTTCTGTTGTGCAGCGCAATCAGGTTCCATTGCGGGCTCAGTTCTCTTAGCCGCGGTAATATCGATTGTGATATTCTTCACGTAAAAATACTTATTACAGTTTTTAACTCAGCTGTAAACCCTATAGCTTATGCAGTATATAAGACAGACATTAAAAAAGAGCTTAAAAGAATGACAAGAATGAACTTTTCGGAATAAAACACAATTCTGGAGAATAATTTTCAAAATTCGTAAGAAGAGTAGAAATAGAGAGGAAATACTTTTCCAAGTTTTTACCTCAGCTGTTTTAACAGCTAAAAGGTTAAAACCTTTTATCTTATGCGATATGATAGAATTCAAGAAAGAGCTTAAAAGAATGAACTTTTAAAAATGACTCTACAATCATAGAGAATAAATTGAACATTGGTTAATAGAGTACAAATGGAGAGAAAATACTTCTTTAAGTTTTTAATTCAGCTGTGAAGCCTAAAGTTAATGCGTCATTTAAGAGAGACAAAGATGGAGCAAATCGATTGATCATTTCAACCTTTCCACTCCTAAGATCTCATTAGTAATTCTCCCTGCTGTCTGTCATACAATTGTTAGAATGTTATTTCAGAGAGTATAATGTTGGATCAACTAATAAATCCTTAACTGATATCACATGACATTGTTTACGATTTTTTTGACAACTCTTCAGGCGAAGGACACGAACACGAATATATGTACAGGGATATATATATATGATATATATTTTGTTGTTCTCATCACTTGACTGTTTGATATCGTAAAGAGGAAATTCTGTCTCGGTCACTGATGGGAGTAAACAATTGAGGACAATTTTATGAAGAGTCATAAGAGTCGGTCCACTTAACGTACACAAATGATTGCACTTCTAAGAGTGAAACAAATTTTCATTTTCAAGGAGATTCAGCGACCGCAAAGTAAAACTAATGATAGGAAAAAAGCAAACAGATTGTTGAAAAAATTCCAAGCGAATCATGTTTATTAAAATGTTAAAGGAGCGACAGCTTCACACATTTCAGTGAGCAGTTCGTTAGGCAGTGACAGAAAATTTTACAAGGTGTTGGGAATATGTTCCCTTCCAAGCTTACACTAAGCCAAGACTACTTAAATGGGATAATAGAGTCTTTCAGCTGCAATTGATATTGGTTTTCGCATCTGTTTGTCTTTTGATCTTAGAGCCTTTTTGCGACAGTTAACAATACAAACTTACGATGTTTCGCTTAAGACAACTGAATTATAGAGGAGTTTCGCTGCAGAAGTGTTTTAATACATTTCATGCGCATTTCGTAAAGTTGTTGCTTAAAAAGCTTTCGTGCACGGCAGAAAAGTCTATCGAAATAGTTATGGTCCTCTCTTCTTAACCATCATCGTCTCTCAGCGAGAATTTCTCTGAAGAATTTCATTAACAATATGAGCTCACGCTCTCGTGCGTTTGGCCAAACTCGGATTTGAGTTTGGCAAAGTTACCGTCAAGACCTTGCCGGGTTCCAACAACTTTGTCCTGGTCATTTCGGCTCGACGTTACCTCCTAACCGACACAAAAAAAGTTATGTAAATCATTCCCACACGAGACAAACAGATGAATAGATATTCCAGAGAATCATCACAAAGGATACCTTAACAAGTTCACTCTTTTTCATTTGGTGTGAATCTTCATCTTGAGATTCCATTTCACCCGGTGGAGGACTCTGTCTCGTTTCCATAGACAAAAGGTCCAGTTTCAAGTACTGAGCATGCGTACGGGCTTTGGCGACGGAAATTCGTACCTTACAAAGAAATAATTAAGATATTCCAACAAAACTTTCATGTAGGAGTCGGTTGTTAGACAGGTGTTTAGACCTTATACAGGGTTAGAATTAAATCGTTTTAACCTTTTTCGCATACAAATGTGAAGTATATTTCTGCTAACTACGTCTTATGGGGTGTAGTCCAAGGTAGGCCAAGCTGAGGGCGACAAAATATAAACAACAAAGATTTTTCACAAGCTATCAATTCAAAAAAAAAAAATTGCTCTAACACCAGCTTAGCTTAATCTTGTTTTGAATTTGGCATTTGCACATTTGTACAATATGTAAATTAAGGGTGACTTAGGGCCTGTTATTTACTGAAACAAAGTTTGACCGTTGTTTGACAAAACTGTGTTCTAAACTTTAAATCTTCAATTAAGACGCACCTTTCAGCAGAACAGTTATTTCTGCGAACAGTGTCAAGAGGGCCGAAAGCTAGTAGTAGAAGGACGTTTATTCAATTTACTTAAGCAATCCTCTCACAGAGAATACCCAAGGCCCACTGATTGCGTAAAACCGCCGTATGGGTTAGACCTACTTTAAATAACCGGCCCAAAGAGTTTAACCCATTGTTAGCGGCTGAACAGGGGCCAATGACCAAATAGGCTTGGCCGGACCTACCTAGAATTTTTTAGATATATTTTGGGGACCACGGTTTTAGCTAAGAATTTTCAAATTTGAAAAATTGGAGATTTTTACAGATGATGCCTGGAAAGCAGTTGGCAAATTAGGTAAGGATGGCTCATGTACTTTACAGAAAACGCGGTTTATGTGATACCCATTCTTTCTTAAATTTAAGTGGTATAAATACCTTGTCTAAAACAATAGTGTGATACAATAGCAAACGAGATATACAGGTTCCAAAATAGCGTCATGTGAACGGCCTTCATTAATTTTAGACCAATTTTTATAAATTAATTTTACTCTTTCTTGCAATAGCCGAAAAACGGTTCGAAGATTGGTTGTGCCATCACTGCAAACAGTCTAGGTACTTCGACATGATTCAGCGCGAGAGTTACTTCCACTGGTTTGACTGGAAAGACGTTTTTTGTTTGTTTGTTTGTTTGTTTTGTTTTTTCCTTTCTTAGGTCTAGCGGAGTTGTTAGAAATTACCAAGCAAAATTAATCCACGACTTTCTTCCTTGAGATGTTGTGCAAAAATAGATGAGCAGTCCGATGAATGGATTTGTCCTTCATGTGAACAGTTATCCCAGAAAATCAGTTTTCCACAAAAAAAAAAAAAATCCCGGCTACACGCATGCTACTTCAGTCTCTGATCGACCTTGCTGAACTAGAAAGACTCTACCTTCTTTTTGTTATGTATGTTTGACACATTGGTGTTTTCACATTGATATTTCATTGTTCCGCCTCGAGACACACGGTTAAACAATACTCACGAGCAAGGAGTTGAGATATAACTTATTAACTTTTACTACTTTTATCATCCAATTACAGGTCGGAGCCATTCCTGTATTTAGTCGCTAGTCGAGAATTATTCACTCACATGTAATCAGTTGTACGGAATAACAAAAGATTTAATAGGTAAAACAATAGCTCAGCACGTGCGTTTTTAAACAGTGTACATTTCTTAGCCGTCCTATGCAAAACAACAACGTGAAATCACCACAATTTGCGTCGCCTACGAACCAAAACCGCGACGGCAAATTATTTTAATTTTCATTTGGAACTCAAGACAGTGTGGCGCCATTGAGACGGTAAACACATGGCCATTTTTGAAATTCTAATTGAAGGCAGAAATTCATTTTTTAATCGCAAACCACGACGACGACGGCAACGAGAACGTCATCAAACAAAAGGTTTAATGAGCAGAACAATGGCTATGCACGTGCGTTATAAATCTTTGTACATTTCTTTGCCATCCTCTGCAAAACAACAACGTGAAATGACCAAATTCTGCGTCCTGTACGGAACGTGGACGACGACGGCTAATATTTCGTATTTCCATTTGGAATTACACGCCACCATTACACATTTAGCTCGAGCACGTTTTTAGAGCCATTAACGAACCGAACAGATCTAGACAACTGCGAATTTCGCTCATAAAATATAAATTCATTTTTTACTTGGCGTCGTACCCGGCGTCGTCGTCGTGGTTGCTTAAGCTCCTTAATGAATGAACGAAGACCTCGTGCAAAAATTAAATACACAAGGGCCACCATTTTTGCCAGTATTACTAAATAATTTAACATGACACAGGGGACGAGTTTAAAATTGAATGCGTCTAACCAATTAAAGATGTTATCGAGGTGTCGCTCTTATCTTTGCAATATCCACTAAAAATTCAGTGATTCCAGTGTCTTCTCTTGACCAATATCTTTGTTCTTCCATTCGTCTGACAACATTCGTCTTCCTCAAAGTAGAAAATATGTTGGTGATTAGGGAATGCTTACTTTAATGAGGAAAATAGCGAAAGCAAAATTTTGTGTAATTGCTTTGCTCTTTGACTCAATAACAGAAGAAGGGAAAGTATCAAAATTTCAAAATGTTAATTACAGTGAAGCCACCGAGGAAAAGAGTCATAACAACTCCACGTGGCTGTATTCAAATACAAAATGAAGTCCCCAATACATTTAACAAGCAAAACAATTTTCTTTGAGAGTTTCGCCAAAACTATTTTACAGTCATTGGCTCTGCTTTTCTTAAAGTCAACTCCCTAATTCAGTCGAATTTCAAATTAAAGAGCCGCTCAGACCAAGCAAACAATTCATGCTACGTCATTGAACCGAGATGATACGACTCGTTTAGATTGACTATTTTCCAAGGGCAATGTTCACCTGTTGCTTTTGTGACATGAAAGTGCTTTCGTTGCTTTTTTACAGGTCCAGCTTCTTTTTCCTTTCAGAGCACAATGTTATGTTAAGCACAGCAGACAACACGTCTTCACTCTGCGATGGACAGCTGGTTTGCTGAAAATATAACAGCTTCTGATGAATATGGATTAACAACTGCGGCTGCTACGTCGCACGTTTGGTTCGGAATTCTGTTTGCACGCTCAATCAGCTAATCAAGAATCAAGCTAAATGAAGGCATTGTGAGTGACGGATTGGCATGTGACAAGAGGAAAAAATTCACAGCTACTCTGTGACAAGGAAATTACTCTGATAATTTTAGAGAACGAATTTTAGAGCTAATTTGGAAGACCAATATCATTAAAAGCAGTAGATCTCTGAGATGAATAAAGAAATATAGAGGGTCTCAATTAGAAAGTACACGAAGAAATGAAAAGTTGTTCGTTTTCCTCTTACGGAGGGACTGTAAAATAAAAAAAAAGAACGGAAAATGATGATGACCCTTTGTATTAACGGTGAAGAAAGAAACATGAAGAATTTAACGTATTGTTCCTCTCTCATGAAGGATTAACGAGATTGAAAGTACGCAAGATGATTTCAAAGCTCTGTCGTTCTATAACACAAGGAGAAAGCGGCATGAACCCTCAGTTACTTCTTATTGAGAAAGTGACCAGCGTACGGCGCATCAAGCTGCAGTAGTCCTAACAGTTAGAAATGACAAGAGGAAAAATAAAGGAAAATAAATTTGAAAGGTTTTTGAGGAAGATATTCATTCATCTTGTCTCGAATGTGAGACGAAGGAAAAATCATTTTGAGTCCCCCCAAGACTTTCTGATTTCGCCCCCTGATGTTCCACCGAGCCACAGAGACTCCCTGATGAGCCACGCCATTATCAGGTCCATATGTGACACGCATCCTGCTTATAGCTACAATACTGTTGTCAAAAGTGAGTGAGAGAGAGACAAGAAGAATAATTGAAAATCTACCTTTAATTTTCATTTGGAACGAATGTTTCCTGAAATCACACAACAACCTGACGCAAGTCGATAAGCTGAGTGCAAAACCCGAACTTTCAGGGCATATCTATCAAATGAATTATTTACCGATGTCTCCAAAGCTAACCTAAAACCTTTAATTGAGACGTAAAGTATACCAACTTTTAACAATTACGAAAAAAATGTTTGAAAAAAAAAATTGAAGGCACTTCTAATCTCAGTTCTTTCCTCAGCTAGACAAAATGTTTGCCACTATTTTTCGAAAACTTGGGTCAATTTTTGGATTAAAAAGAAAATTGTAGATATTCTTAACACATCTTAATTAAAAAAAAGAAAGAGATAGTCCTGACACGTGACATTGTTTACGATTTTTTTTAACAAATCTTCAGGCGAAGGACACGAACACGAATATATATACAGGATATTCAGCAGGCGAATATAACTTCCGTATTCAAGGGCCTTTAATTTCTCGACAACGAGCAGGACAACATTTTTAATCATCTAGTTGAAACATGAAAACGTGGTTTTGGATCTTTGGCTGGTTTCTTTCAATCCTTACCATTACTGGGAACGGCCTCATTATCTTCCTGATTTGTAAGCGTAAACAGCTTCGCACCAAAACCAACGCGTTTGTGGCGTCTTTAGCTGTGGCTGATTTCTTTGTTGGGATGACGGTTGTTCCTGTTTTATTTATCTTAAAAGAAACAGTTTCAAAAACTGAGCTAGCAGATGAGGTCCAGCTCTACGTGAGGTTGTTTTTTGTGAGGGCGTCAGTCACGAATTTGTGCAGTCTGGTATTGGATCGCTTCGTGGCCGTCGTGAAACCATTGAAATACTTGATATTTATGACGCATGGCCGAGTCATTCAAGTGGTTTTCTTGTCATGGGCCTTTCCGGCAATTTTTATCACAGTGAGAGCATCTCTCCACTTTGCCTTCCAAGAGCGACACCTCGATAACATCTTCAATTGGTTAGACGCATTCAATTTTAAACTCGTCCCCTGTGTCATTTTAGTCTTCTGCTTTGCATGTATGCTAACTATTATTTGTAAGCACCATCGAAAAATGCGTACTCTTGTAAAACAAATACGTTCCAATGCACCCGTTTGCTTTCGAACTCAAGATAGCGCCGCTGTTAAAATAATGGCCATTGTTATTGGGGTGTTTCTGCTTTGCAGCGCAATCAGGTTCCATTGCGGGCTCAGTTCTCTTAGCCGTGGTAATATCGATTGCGATATCCTTCGCGTAAAAATACTTATTACAATTTTAAACTCAGCTGTAAACCCTATAGCTTATGCAGTATATAAGAGAGACATTAAAAAAGAGCTTAAAAGAATGACAAGAATGAACTTTTCGGAATAAAACACAATTCTGGAGAATAATTTCAAAATTCGTAAGAAGAGTAGAAATAGAGAGGAAGTACTTCTCCAAGTTTTAAGCTCGGCTGTTTTAACAGCTAAAGAGTTTAAAGAATGAACACTTGAGAATGACTCTACAATTAATCATGGAGAATAATAACATTGGTAAAAAGAGTACAAATGGAGAGATAATACTTTTTTAAAATTTTAAACTCAGCTGTGAAGCCTTCAGCTTATGTATCATTTAAGAGAGACAAAGATGGAGCAAATCGATTGATCATTTCAACCTTTCCACTCCTAAGATCTCATTAGTAATTCTCCTCGCTGTCTGCCATACAATTGTTAGAATGTTACTTCAGAGAGTATAGTGTTGGATCAAATAATAAATTAATTGATATATATATATATATTTTTATGCTCATCTCTTGTCTGTTTGATATCGTAAAGAGGAAATTCTGTCTCGTTCACTCATGGGAGTAAACAATTGAGGACAATTTTATGAAATCACAAGAGTCGGTCTACTTAACGTACACAAGTGATTGCACTTCTAAGAGTGAAACAGATTTTCATTTTCAATGAGGTTAAGCGACCGCAAATTAAAACTAATGATAAGAAAAAGCAAACAGATTGTTGAAAAATTCCGAGTGAATCATGTTTATTAAAATCTTAAAGGAGCGACTGTTACACACATTTCAGTGAGCAGTTCGTTAGGCAGTGACAGAAAATTTTACAAGGTGTTGGGAATATGTTCCCTTCCAAGCTTACACTAAGCCAAGGCTACATAAATGGGATAATTGAGTCTTTCAGCTGCAATTAATATTGGTTTTCGCATCTGTTTGTCTTTTGATCTTAGAGCCTTTTTTGACAGTTCACAATACAAACTTACAATGTTTCGCCTACGACAATTGAATTATAGAGGGGTTTTGCAGCAGAAGGGTTTTTATATATTTCAAGCTAGAGTCGGTGCATTTAGTAATGTTGTTGCTTAAAAAGCTTTCGTGCATGGCAGAAAAGTCTAACGGAAAAGTTATGCTCATCATCTCTTCTTAAACATCATCATCTCTCAGCGACATTTCTCTGAAGAATTCCATTAGACAGTATAAGCTCACACTCTCGTGCGTTTGGCCAAACTCGGATTTGAGTTTGGCAAAGTCACTGTCAAGACCTTGCCGGGTTCCAACAACTTTGTCCTGGTCATTTCGGCTCGACTTTACCTCCTAACCGACACAAAAAAGTTATGTAAATCATTCCCACACGAGACAAAGTGATAAATAAATATTCAAGAGAATCATCACGAACGATACCTTAATAAGTTCACTCCTTTTCATTTTGTGTGAATCTTCATCTTGAGATTCCATTTCACCCGGTGGAGGACTCTGTCTCGTTTCCATAGACAAAAGGTCCAGTTTCAAGGACTGAGCATGCGCACGGGCTTCGGCGACGGAAATTCGCACCTTAAAAAGAAATAATTAAGATATTCCAAAAAAACTTTCATGTAGGAGTCGGTTGTTAGACAGTCGTTTAGACCTTATGCGGGATTAGAATTGAATCGGTTTTAACCTTTTTCGTATACAAACGTAAAGCATATTGCTGCTAACCACGTCTTATGGGGTTTAGACTAGGGTAGGCCAAGCTGAGGGCGACAGAATATAAACAACAACGATTTTTTTAACAAGCTATCAAATTACATGAAAAAAATTACTCTAACACAGGCTTAGCTTATCTTGTTTTGAATTAGGCATTTGTACATTTGTACAATATGTACATTACGGGTGAGTTAGTGCCGGTTATCTAAACAAAGTTTAACCGTTGTTTAACAACACTAGGTTCTAAACTTAAAATCTTCAATTTGGCCGCACCTTTTATCAGAAAAGCCATTTCTGCGAACAGTGTCAAAAGGGCCGAAAGCTGGTAGTGGAAGGATGTTTATTCAATTTAAGCAACCCTCTCACAGAGAATACTCGAGGCCCACTGATTGCGTAAAACCGCGGTATGGGTTGGACCTTCTTTTAAATAACCGGCTCAAAGAGTTTAAGCAAACCTGGACGTGATCAAATAGTCGAAAATCAAATGATCCCACTGCATTCTTAACTGTGATGTGAAATTCGTGACAAGAAAGCGATCCTTTGAGGGTAAAAAAATTGACACAAAAATCAGTTTCACTTCTCTGTGTACGATCACATTGTAAGGTAGGTCTATAACTATTCATAAAAACTCTTTAGCACTGGTTGTAGTTATATTGTTTTCGTTATTGAACATGACGAATAAATAGAGCGTAAAGTTAAAAAGGAAAAAAACTAGGAAATTTCCAAAATGGAGGTATATTTTACTTTAGACACTGTCTCTACCGGAGGTCTTTGTCCTAAATGTATTTTTTTTCCAGAAATTATAATGATTATGATTAACTGGTAACAGGAAATGAGGGAAGGGATTTTATGAGATTCATTGTCGACAAATTTTGAAACTACTACTTCGCAGAAGATTCCCGCTCCATAACCGTTCAAAGGAACACTGGACTTAAACCACTGGCGGTTTTGATAAGTCGAGTAAACGAGAACGCCGATAAAAACTAGGCAATGACGTAAATCAGAGGAGGTCTCATAAGCTCACCGATACACAAACCTAGACGGAACTGAAGAACGAATTTACTGACCTGGGCCAAAATACACTGATTCCTCTGTTATGTGAGAAGTTACTACTTGTCCTGTTTTGTCCTTGAGATAGACTGGACCTTTTAAACCATAACTGAAAAGGGAAAAATCATCAATAAGAAATCAATTACTTTAACAAAGTTATAATGTAAGGTAACCTTTAACAAAGGGAAACACTGAGCAAATAAAATTTTATCCCTTGATTTCCTGATGTTAGGCATGTGTATGGGATTATACATTGAGTGGAAAACCTGCTATTAATTTGAAGTTCAGGACCGCTGTGAGAAGCATAAACGTTTAAGAATGTAGCGTTAGTTCGTCAAGAATTACTACCTGCCTCTTTCATTTTTCACCTATCAAGATGAAAAACATACTGGCAATTAGGCGTTTCTGTTCAATTCGACACTTGAATATCAAAATTTTCTCACTCTTCAAATATCGCAAAAACCACTCTAACTCTACGAGTCGCGGGAGTGATAGGGATGTAAATTCTCCTTCTCTTTTCATAGAAAATCTTTGGAAGACCATTAATGAGAATGAAGGAAGTTATCAGCTATAAGAGATAGATTGTATATGATACCAAACTTCCTAAACAAGTTAACAACGAACTGTATCAGCACCGGATATTTGTAAGGGTACACCCACTTCAACAGTTTAACCCAAGGAACATCAAATGGGAGTTACAAGTCATCTTTAGCTTCATCCACTATGAGAATGTAGATTAATATTTACCGAGGAACCAATACTAGGAAACCATTGGCTCTGAGGCTGAAAATAACAGCGTCACAGTTTCGTCTCTCATCGTCTTCAGATAAATCTTGGAAAAACAAGCATTGAAAAAGATCCACAGATTCCTTCTGGGCGTTCTGAGCAGCCTGACGAGGAAAAAAGCGTAGAAATTTTAACATATATATCAAAAAGCCTTGTTGAAAAATGGGGGATTAGTAACCTTCTCAATACAGGTGTTACGACGAAGTTGAAACTATGGTTTGTTAACAGTTAAATTTTTTTGCGCAATTCAATGAGGAAAATGTTGTTTTATGGCAATTTTTGGTTTATAGAAAAGCTAAGTCCATGTACGACGTGCACTCTTAATGATCAAAAACCTAACAAATGAAACATGGAAAGAAACATATATTGCAAAAACGTTTTCTGTGTTCTTCCAATTTTCCTCTGTTTAACTGGTGGAAAATGCGTTCTTTCGCTCAAGTGCACATAAGTCTTTGACGTTAGATTTTTTTAAGGAAAACATGACGCTCTTTTTTACTCGCCTGATGAGTTACAAAGACGATAAAACGTTTTATAACGAATGGAATCCATACCCTGTGTTTAATATTGATATGATGACAAGTCTCTTGAAGTTCTTTGTTGCTTGGCAGCTGGTTATTATTGTCATTTTCAACTGCTGCCATAAGGAGTCTGTGAACCTGTTGACGACAATACTCATACTAAAGGCACCGAGCAAAAGATTTGGATTTACTGATCATGCATGACATCATCATACTATACTTCCGTAGTTACTAAAAACTATACTTGTGCAAGTCTCTAAACATTTCTAAACGGAAAAATTACAGTTGTTACTCAACTAGAAGTTAGATATGTGATATTTGGAAAAGATGGCCATCACCCGTGAGGGTGCATTATTTTCACAGTCTTTTAAACGGAGAAGCAGCAGCTTCTCATGTTTTAGTGATCTGTTATATTGAATAAGTTGATGACGTGTAGAACTATTTTATCAGAGCCCATGAAGTTTATTTACTCTTCCTTCTGTTTTGTTACAGACTACTGAAATCTATCATCTATATCATAAGAAAATAAAAATTCAAAAGTCCCTCTTTGGCTGAGCTTCATGAACGAGGGAGAAGAGTCATTGGCTGCATTTGTCACAGGCGTAACTCTGCACTCGAGCCGAGAGCCCCAGAAAGCGCTAGAGCTTATTCCCAAACCTCTGTTGAATGAAGCGACTGAAAATAGCAAGCCTAAAGAGGAAAATAATTAAGAGCATGTTATAACTAAAATCATGGCTCGGCTATGTTCTTGCCGGATGTAACTTGCTCGTGTCAGCTGCCAATCAAATAAAACTTTCGTTTTGCAAATGACACGGTAAAGTGAAGACAAGTTAGACATAAACTGTACAAAGATTTACAAACTCACGATGACGTCTGCATATCTCCTTATCGGTGAAGTGAAATGCGTGTAATGATCCAAGGCGAGACCATAGTGAAAGAAATGTTCCGGGGACAAGGAACCAGTCGAGAAGTATAGAGCATTTGACATGGCTTGAGTTGCAAGAGAACGAACCAACTACGAAAGAGTAAATATTTGAAACACTAAACTAAAAACCAAACTACAACAATTAAAACGGCCTTTCGGAAAGAAGAGAAATAACTCAAGGAACCAATGAGGAGTCGAGGTAAAAAACAAGAAAGCTTCCTGAAGCTCGAAAAAATGCTAGTGATCAAGAGGCAGTCGAGTGAGGCCAAGTGTGACCATAACAGGTTAATTTGGTGGTATCAACTGAGTTGATAATACCAAATTACCTCGTTATACTCTCTAACCGACGCAGCAACACAGTTTCCTTAAAAACTTACTCCCTTTAATCTTAAGTGTGACTATGCTGTGACACTTCATAAGTAAATCACCATGCTATCATGCTGAATAAGAACCCATCTCTGTCACATCAGGGTCACCTCTAGCCTCAATCCTGCTCAAAGGCTTGGCAACAGTTTAAGAATATTTTTTCGAAGCATCATACAAATACGTTTAAGGCTGGGTACCTTGTTGAAGTTGGGATCCTGAGGGTCAACACACTTATCGAGCGAGTCTGCCAGAGATTTATTGGAGCTGAAATTATGGTGAAAAAATCATTGACGGACGAACGTAGGTAGAGAAATAGGTATGAAGGTAAGTACAAAGAGAATTTGGCGATTTAGTGGATAACGGGATGAATTATTTAAAAGGAAGGGAGGGGTGCGTAGGAGGGTAAGCAGATAGATCGCTAAGAACAGTTTCTGTTTTTCGACCACAAAAATGGAATCAACAGCATCTTCCTTTAACACTTGATGCACAAGATTGTATTATCTTGGCGTTTACTCGGATTCTGTTCGGACCGTACCTTGTGTCGATGGAAAATCCTTTAGAGGCTGCACAATGTATAAGGTTTGAGAAGTGCTGTTTCCTTGGCAACGGGTGGTGACGTAACTATAAAAAGTACAAGCTAGAATTAGCTCTTGTTAATGAAAAGTCTCCATCATGAATATTTGAAACTCCAGTTAAGGCGACTTCCACCTTACCAGGGCTGCACTTGGGAAAGCTTCCGAAATCTTCTTGGCAACCCAGTGATTAGCAAATATCATACACTCCGCCACAGTTTCATGGATTTCTAAGGGCTGCGAAAATAATATTCATAATTAAACACTCTTGTTACAATTCAGGATGGAGTCAGTAAGGCTGCATGCCTTCTACACGCGTATTACGTTGACGCATGCGCAACATCTCGGCAAGATAATGTTTTTTCCTTATCCCTCTGATCCCTAAAAGTGACTAGCATCTCATTTCTCCCTACAGTACCACCCCTGAATCACACATTAAGGTCATGAGAATAAAGCAAATGATCACCAACTGAAGAAGCTCTTGAACCCTTTGACCCCTTAGAGTGACTAGCACCTCATTTCTCCCTACAGTACCACCCCTGAATCAAACATTAAGGTCGTGAGAATAAAGGAAATGATCACCAACTAAACGAGCTTATGACTGTCAAACAAATTCTTCTTGTCAGTACCATAGAAAATGTGAAGAGAACAGTATCAACAGTCAGACAAAATTGCAATAAGGCTCCTCGTTATTTTACCAGTAGCCGTAAAAAAACCCCTGAACAACACAAAGTACACTGTAAATCGCACTAAAGTATATGCATTTTGTATTTCACCTTTTTAGGAATTAAATCTTTAATGTCCTTCTTATCACCCAGCTGGACTTGAACTTCAACACCTTCCAGCTCCAGGGCTCCTGTGAAAAATTAGACCATGATACCTGGTGTACAGTTCATCTATGCTGACACTCGGTGACTACTGCATGTACATGAATGCAGCTGACCAGTACTGTTTAAGTACAAATTTGGCTTTTTGACAACAGTATTGATCACATTACTGTTAATAACTTTTAACAGTCAACATTTGATGTCAAGAAGGAGAGACAAAGCCCTATTATGGTTAATTTCGCTTTTTAAAAAACAACATATTTTCAAAATATCCTTAAAATGTAATTTGTAAGCTATTTCATACTCCCGAGAGCCATGATAAATGTAAGACGGCATTGAGCTCTATCAACAACTTAATGGATTTATGCTCACGACTAAGTTTAAAGTTTGAATCTGATTGGTTGGGAAAGTGAAGCGATTTTCTGAACCAACCATAGAGCGTAGTGTAGCAAAACCAAAACAATAGCGGACTACTTTCGACGAAATTTTCTTCATTCGCACTATGAGCTCTACTACTGGTGACAGCAATTTATAACTCAGTACGAAACAGAAAAATTACCATGAATTGTTCTTCTTGTCTTAATAACTCTTGCAATATCCATAAGTTTCGTCACCGTTTTACGAATTTCTGACAATCTATCGGGAAAAAAAAACGCCAAAAAAGCATATCTGTAAGGATTTGCGTAATCTACGCTACAGAAAATTATCCTAAAATCAAACGTGCATTTTTTCTCTGTAGGTAATATGGAAACATGTGTCACTGAACGGTGAGAACCACCACTGTCATTCAAACTCAACAATCACACACATGATCAACACTCAAGCTACTCGTTTTCTTCTTTTAACATCCGTTTAGTGATTCTTAGTTTGGTTTTATCTTTGTCTGTCTGTTTTATCTTTTACGGTTTGCATTTCCAATAGGATGTATACATTTCCACACTGAGAGGAAGGAAATCTGCCAGAAATGGAATGTAAAAGAACCTTTTAGATGCTTCCGTTCGATCAACTTCTTGTAATTCAGGAATGTCTTCTATGAGCTCCTCATCGCTTGTCTCTCCATCAGCAATGGCTTGCGCTGCCTACGAAAGTAAAAGAACAAACTCCTTAAGGTCACCTTATCCAAAATGTCTTTTTATACTTTAAAGCTGGAAACGTGCATCTACAAATGCCTAATAGCTATTTGGGGAAAAGGAATGAATGGCTTACCTGGTTTAATATTTAGGAGTTTTAGTATTCTACCGCTATTTTGAGTAGGCTTTTGTTTATTCTTCAGGCCGGGAGTGTTATTATTATTAATTGTGTCCAAGCCTTATCGACATGAAATTACCAAAACAAGAACTAAAATGGCACGAGATATAATTTACCTCGTAAAACAGCTTGTAGGAAGATCGTATGACCGTACGACCAAACCATGTCTTCAAAACATTGAACTCTGAGTCCAAAACCCACATAACACTAACAGCATACCTGTTAAAACACTCGAATAATTAAAACCATGGTCGCCACAGACATGAACTTTTAAAATTCCCTAACTTAAGGACTTAAGGAAGATGATGGAGGTGCCTAAAGAGCAATGAGAAAAACACCCCCCGACGTGCTGAAAATGTAACTTTTCCTGGACATCATTACATCTTCCAGCATAAAAGCTATCATAATGAAAAAAACCTTGGCATTTAGAAACTATTTCTTGATACAACACCACGTTCTTGTAACTTATTGTGAAGACCATGTCAAGTGGTTAGAATAAAGAGCTACAAATCTGATGTTAAGAGAAACCAAACAACCAACAGACACCAACAGACAGTCCTAAAGCATAGTCTGTGCTGCAGCAGCTGTCAGGAATGGACAGAGATACCTTATGGACTTCACCAAACTATCAGAGACGGTCAATTTATTTCCTAACTGGGGAACCGAAACGATGCAACTTTACCTATCAACACCTCCGATCAGTGAACACAGATCCGCGCTTAGCACTTCTGGTAACATGTCAAACCTTCGATCAGCTAAGTATACAGTGGTAGATCTGTTGCACAAAGAAAAGAAACGTCTGCTGAAAAATCGTGAGCTCAGGGGCGTGCTAGGCAAATTTTATCATGATGATTTTACATACGAATAACAACAATCGCAACTGTGTAACGTCCTTGCGTAACATCGAAATATAAGGAAGCTTTAACAATGGTCAGAAAAGTAATGGCACAAAAATTGATGGCAATGACAGGATGACAGGAACAAGCATACTACATTTTCGAAGATTTCTCAGACGCACCTCTAATCCCAGACTGTGTGGTATTAAATTTTACAATTTGCTGGGCCATGAATGTTTTATCATGGAGAGACAGGTCGATTCATTGGCCCTATGGTTAGTACGTTGGACTTGAAGTGTTCAGGTTTGAACCGTAGTTTCGGTCATTACACTATGCTCTTAGGCAAGACACTTTCATCTGACAGTGCCACTAAATATGACTGCAATTTTAATTTGAGTGTCGAAATTTATCCGGGATAACTTTGGTTTTGATTTACTTCACGCTGTGTTTGATTCAGAAAACTCCCGCCACTTTCTCAACCAATCAGATTCAAAACTAAATCCAAACACGACTTGGTCACATGCGTTTTCCCGCGCTTGGGGTAATTTGCTTGTTTTATTTTGAATTATTTTTGCCTTGATAGGATATTTTCTTTTTTTATGATTGGCTATTGTAATCACTGTGGCTTTGGTTTTACAACACTCAGTCAAAATTCGCTCTTGAACAAAATTGAATAGTCAGGGACGAAATACAATGGGTGGGCAGAGGAGGAAGAAGTAACCTGTGATGGACTAGCATCCAATCCAGGAAGAGTACTGGTGTCTATACTCCAAGCGGAATCATACCGTGAATGCCAGGTTACGCTGCAGCAGCTGCATGAATACGAGTCAGTCTTACACCAAGACTTTTCTTATGTTTTATCACTGTGAACTATGTGGACGTCGCGTACCTGGATTTAGCCTCAGCGTCTGTCAAAGACCCTGGTCTGACAAAGTGAGACACATCTGCAATATGAACACCGAGTTCGATCTGCCCACGTTTCAGTGTTCTGTTGACAAATAATTACAAAGATTGAAAAGCCTTTGGAATAAGATTTGGAATTTACACATGTAAAAATGTACTTATCGAAGGATATAACATGCAACCGTGAAGAGAAGAAATTAAGACATTGTCACAAAATTAATTTAGGCACGAACTTCTTCAATTCTGTAGTACACTTTGATCTGAATCATCCCTTTATCTCCCAGAAGTGAACATCATGTAATTTTTTCCCGACATGGTCGACTGTATATCCAAAAAAAATGGGAATAAACAAACCTATTTGCTGGAAGGTGATACTTTGACACCAAATTCTTCGACAGAATTTACCAGAAAAATTATAGAAGCTGAGAGGTAGCGTTACTAATTTGATCTCAGGAGTTAGAGAGTTGGGCCTTTCTCTTATGATTTCCCAAACACCTATTAGCTTTTGTAGTAAATGGAAAAGGTGTAGCAAGGCAGTACGTTATCAAAGCAATCAAATATAAAACTAAAAAGGTTAAAAATAGAATTCAGCTTCACCCTGTTAATACTTCTTAGAGTGTGGTGCACAGAACATTACCTGACAGATAGAGTATCATCGACATCTTCGCATCCTTTTGGATCAATGCTGAAGATCAAATGCGATTTTCTAAAAAAGAAAAGAGAAAAATGAAAATTGGTCTATTCAGATTTTTTCTCACGAGTTTGTGTCATGACTCAGAAATTCTTCATACTATTGATAACGATGTTAAGCTCACCGAAAAACGGTTAGAAATAGCGGACGATAAAGAGAAATTGCTTTGTTTAGAATCACCTAACCTACATAACTCAAGATTCACACCAGCGTGTGCGACGACTTTACCCTTTTTCTTTATAACCGGTGAAAGATCACTCTTTGCCAAGAAATTTCCCCCTTCACTCATTTAACTGAGATTCGGTCGCAACCGTACAACTTATAAACACTCGATGTCCACAGTTGTTGTTACGAAGGGAACGGAACGCCAGACTATACGATAAGATACCCATTGTTTCTTGAAAAAAAAAACTAAACTTTCAAAGGAAATTTAAAGAGAAGAGTAACAGTTACTGTTGAGTTAAAACAGAAGAAACAAGCAGAGCGCTTTTATTCTTTCAATTCGTTACTGAGATTGTGCCGAAGAGAAAGCAACCAAGTGAAGGTCGGAGACAAATGTTGATAGTGCATACGCTTTAAAACCGACGTTTGTATGATGCTCACCGTAAATCTCGCCTTTTTGCTATTTCCGCCTCAGACATTACCCAGGGGCTCTCTGTTGTGTTGGTGGGAAGCTCCTTCAGCTGTGCTTCAGTGAATGAGGGCGCTGCAAGGGTGTGCTCCACCATCAAGGCTTGAACCTCGGTCTCTAGGTCGCCAATGGGGCCCAACGAACGAACAAAATGTCCACTAGGGTACATAGAGTTCACCTCCCATAAATCGATCCTAACGACAATTCTGTTTTAAAAAAGAAATGGTTTGAGAGCGTAGCTAAGAGAATCGATCACATGTGGTTAACTGTGTGGCGGACTCCAGGGTAGTCTTGAGAAGGACTCCTGTTGGCGGCAGTGACTAACGTTTCGACAAACTGGGTGAAAGTCATCCTCACAAGTAAACGCTAACGCAGTTAAAGTATGGTTCCAATCCAGCAGTGCCACGACACGGTGGTTGTTCACGTGCGAAAATGATTCAAGTCGTTATTCCTTAAATTGACCGAAATGCCGACAGAACAGAACTAGAAAACTGGACAGTAGTTTTCATGCCAAATAGACCTCAATTTCTCGACCGAATGTCGCGAAACGAATAAAAAAAAAGTAATCATAAAAACCCAAATAGAAAAATAACATGCAAGTACTTTGAATTCAGACGCGCGTAGGACAAAAGGAGTTCTCTTTCGCCCGCGTGTTCGCTCACTTTTGCGCACTTTTTATGTGTTAACGTCGAACGCTCTCAATGCAGCTTATTAAAACAAAGGAAATCATCACCAAGAAGAGCTCTCTCTTGCAAGTGTGCTCTCTTTCGTCCGCGTGTCCGCTCTCTTTGATGCGCGTTTCATGCGTTAATGTCGAACGCCCGTTATGCAGCTTATTTAAACAAAGAGGCCATGAAAACTGAAAGGCGCGTTTCTCTAGTTCCTTCAACACACCTTACAAGAACGAGTAAGGTTTTATTCATAGAGGAACCCAAAGCAATCCCCGTCCTTCAAAGGCGAAAAACATATATCGTTGTTATAGAGGTCCGTTAGTTGAGAAAAACGTTTTGTTATGAACCAACCTGTGATCTCGCAAGCTGTCAACTTGACGCGTACTTATCCTTATCTTGGGTATACGGTAATCCCATGGAACCACAACGACCTGAGTCAGCACAAAAATTAAAATTAGACAGAGTATTGGTTCACCCTGGTATCAAAAGTAAACTTTAAAAAAAAATGGAGTTTGGGTTTGGTCTAAAGAGGAAGGAGGGGTGAAGCTTAACGTACTGAATACCCAGTCACTTTGAACCTGCATCCTCAATGGGGCTTCATACGCGGTCAGATAGTTTATGATCAGATTGGATACGGTTACGCGTGGATACACCGTCGATGTAAATTAAGCATGCATTGAGTTCATAAAATTTCTTGTTCTCAAAGCGTCATTCCCGCCTATCCACTGCGAGTTCAACTTCCAATATTACTACGGGAGGGATGGTCGTTGCCACTGCAAGCCTAAAATATCCACCTACCCGTGTGTCCACTTCAAATATTAATGTAGTCTTGAACAAAATTTGTTACAAATCCCTAAAATCAACCAATTTCCACATACGACCCTCCATTCCCTCGTTCAATGTTAAATACTTATTAGACTGTGGGCAACTATGACACAAAATCCTTTATTCGGGTGTCCAAGGTTGAAGGGGAGGGTGTTTCCTTGCCACTTCATATTCACGTATCTGCCTGACCACTTAAAACTTCGTGTATAATGAGAGAAGGAGTGGTTTTCGACGAAGTGTCCGTGTATTTTCTCTAAAGCAGCTTTATGCGACAGGCTATTCGGCGGTTACTCTCTCCTGAGTTAGTTTTTAATTATTTACCTTTCCAGCTTGTTTCCTTAAACCCTGGGTTTCCTGAAAATTTATAGAAACGAGGCAATCCCAACATGAAAAAGTTTCTTTCTTTTTAGACCTACCTAATCAGTAACCTTAACAACGAAGCTACTAACTCAGCTGTAATTCTGTACAGTACAATTCCCCAGTTTTGGTAAAATCTTGGGTAAAAGAAATTGGTTGGAATAATCAGAAGGTTCGAAATATCGAAGGAAGAGCTACATTTACAGTTGTTTGATGAGAAAGGGAAGTGATTCCAGTTGCCGCAAGTTTGTAAAACCGAGGGTTTGAATTATAAGGATTTAACTGAAGCTGAATCTCAGCAGTCATTTGTTTTCCGGAGAGCTCTTCGATTAAAATTCGTAAAAACCAAAACCAAGATAATCTGAACAGCCAATAAAAACACGGGTCAACAACACAATGAACTCACGAGAGCCTAAAGAAAATAAGAACTTTCAACGGGAAATGGCACACTTTGAGATGAGATTCGGCGAAACGAGTGAAACTCACGGTGGACAGCTGAACATGTTGGTTTATGAAGAAGTATTTACCTCATTTTCAGCAAAACTTGCGACATAATCTCTCCAGTTCCTTTGCACCACTCCCACCACACGGCCAGTTGGCATGACGTCACTTTGGTCTTCTTTAGACTCGTCTGCACCTAAATAGAGGCCATCACTTGTATTATTTAGGTGTGCAGTTTGTATTCATGTGTTCACAGAATTTGATTGAATGCATCAGAGTTCTACAATACTGAATGATTTGAAGGTGTAAGCACCAGACTGTTAAGAGGTTTCTTTCAGTCATGTTTCCCTAAATGTGATAAGTATCTGTCCTCCCCACTGCTTGGAAGCTAATGGCTGCATTAGCTGAATTTACCAGAATTAAAGTTGTCAAGTAAAAGTACCGGTTATAAGTAGACTGCTGTTTTAAGACACGACACGACAGGATAAAAAGTGGCACCTTAAGGTTTAAAAGCATTTCTACATTTCAAGTATTAACTTAAGATTGTTCAAACCTTCATCACTGCTTCTAATAGCCATTGATCTGCCCTTCCACTGAGATTTGGGAAATAACTCCACCACCACAACATCACCATGCACAGCCCGATTTCTGAAACCACAAAATGTTACTGAGCATTGAACTTCAATCTGGGTGGCTATACAAGACTGTAGACTTGCTTAACCCTTTCACTCCCAAGATCTTTTATGTAATTCTCCTTACTGTCTGCCATACAATTCTTATGATGTCTGTGCAAAGAATTTGGAATTCGTTAAATTTAACTTTTCTTTCTTCTCATCACTCAGGCTTGGTATTGTATTGATATCGTAAGGAGAAACTCTGTCTTGGTCACTCATGGGAATTAAAGGATTAAAGTGAGTACACATAAACTAAATAATATAAAAATAAAAGCATTTTGAGTTGACATTTTTTAGTTCATACAAACCCACAGGGCTGCATCAACAGGTGTATTAAAATTACATAAGGTATGCAATAATTGTAAATTGTGGTAAATTTAAACTTCAAAGGTTGCAGTGAAAACATACAACTGTATTGTACTCAAGCTTAAATGGTAGAGTAATCAATCAAAAGTCCAAAATGATGTTCAGGGAAGTTCTGCAGAGTGGGGTCTTCAAGTTGATATCATCCCTATACTTGGGTCTCAAGGATGAGTCAGACTTTTCTTTGCAAAGTTTTTTTTCTTTTTTCTACACCTGTTTACTAAGTCTAGTTTATGAGGTTGGATGTAGGGCAGCAAAGAGATTTTATTTCATTTTCTTTTTAACAACATATATGTCTATTATCATTCCCATTTAGTTCTAACAACACAGAATGCGATCAGACATTGTTTCTGATATTTTCTTTCATTTTTGAGTCTCCATTTCATGTATCATTTAAAAAAGGTGTTCCAGGCATTATGCGAGCCTCCCTCAAAAGTTTGTCACACACTTGCCAATATTAGTCTAATATTGACCAATGATTGACAGTTACTGCAGATTTGCAAACACTTGCTTACCTATTCACCATGCCAGTGATGAGTACATCAGAGTCTAGTGAGTCCTTACTGTCTGACATACCCTTGCTAAGAATGAAGAAAATCACTGTTAAACAATAATGTAATGCAATTGATTATTTGCAAAAATAAGCTGGGTGTTCTTGTTTTATTATTCATGTTGGTTAGGTTGATTCCAGGCATTAAGGGTCCCAAATTCTTGCCTACATCAGCTTATAGCTGGATAAGTATAGTATATGTGCAAAATTAATGTATGTCTTTAGAACAGTTTGAAATGTGAGAACATAAACTTCATTTTAATTCAAGGTAAGCTTTCTCTCACAGGGCCCTTAGTCCTTCCTCTCTTGGTATTCAAGTTCATTTAGTGCAAACTTTAACTTCATGCACTTGAATAAGCTGCACTTAAATGTAATGATATCATAGATTGACAACAGAGGAAACATAACATACCCTGACTTTTGAACAAATGCCTCATCTTGTGCACAATGTTTGTTGACATTGAGACATCCTTGCAAGAAACGACCCTTGGTAAGGAAAGACATTTCTACAGTAACAATGGGATTAAAAGCTTGAGGTTTCCAAGGCATGATATGCATAGTTGATCAGCTATCATGTAAAACAAACAAGAGTCATTTCTGTTTGTTAACAACTACACACCAATAGGCCACTCACTTTATCCCTTTAACCCCCAATATCAACATGTATATTCTCATCACTGTTCTACATATGTTTCTCATTTAACTGATTGAGAGAATTTGTTCAAAAATCCAGACATTTCATCTTTGGTGATCATTTCATTCATTCTCATAAACTGTGCATTTGATCAGGCAGTAATATTGTTAGGAGAAATTAGATGCCACTGTTGGGACTTGAAGGGTTATTCACTAAGGTGTGCAGACATGTACATCTATCATGGAATAGTTAGCTGCTAACAAATCCAATTATATTTAAGCATTTGTGAAAGAATGCTGGTAAAAATTAATCATCATTATTAATAGTAACTCTTCCATTAAAAAAATCTCTCTCTCTCTCTTACAGCTTTAATTCCAGCTTCAAGAACTTCGGCTGGTAAGTATTCTTGATATTCCTTTGTGGATGCTTCACTCACTACAATAAGTATAAAGTTAAAATGGAATTTTTTAAAAATTATTTCAAAAAATCAACTAACAACAACAACAAACATCTCAATGTTTCTTTAAAACATATCATTTTCTTTTGTTTTTCAACTGAAATTCTTGACAAGGGAAATTTAGTTGTCAACACTAATAACCAAAGTGCAGAACCCATTTCATCATAAGAGTTGGCACAGAAAATTTCTCCACTCCCAAGATTTTGTTCCCAGCCACCTTCCTCCTTTGGTGTTGTAATACAATTTTGTTCACTCCAACCTTCACTTGATCTTATCAATCTGAAACTAATATGGCTTCAAAATTCATTTGCCTCATTCCAGTTGTGCAAGCTACTCCCAAAAATAAGGAGAGGGTGCTTGAGCCTGATCAATATAATTTTCATCAAATTTAGGGTACACTCAGTCTTACCTGATTCATTTGCTTCATTATTTACAGCAGCCAGAGAATAATACAACTCCAGAATTGATTGACAAGTGGGATAGAAATCAGTAAGGTAGTCCTCAGTTCTCATGATAAACACTCCTGCAGACTTGTTTCCATACTTTTCCACAATCTGCCAACATACAATATAGGAAAATGTTCCCAAAAAACATACACACTTTAAACTAACTGTATTTAAATATAGATTTTATCCAATCTGTTTACCTAGATTATAGATTCAATCTGTTGGCTTTAAAAGAGTGCCTAGCATCTAGTTTCTCCATACAATATCACCCCTGAATCAAACATTAAGGTACAAGTTAGGATAAAGGAAAATAATGATCAACAACAAAAGAATCTCTTGATTGTGTAACAAATTCACCTTGTCAGCATCTTGGGTAATGTACAGAGAACAGTATGGAGAATATGGATCCTGGTGATAGGGTATGAAGGGTTTGTCATAAAAGTCACTCAGGGGGAAGCCCCAATCATATTACATAGTGTTGTTACATTTTTCTTTCAAATCACTAACCATGTTTGCACCTTAAGGTACAAATTTCAGAGGTGATTAAGCCTAATTACAGTATCTAACAAAGATGCCACTCCTAAATCAACTTCTATATTGTATATTGAGGATTTAAAATCAATATACAGATAAAACTTAAAAGTTGCTGAGAAAACAAAATGTTGGTGTTGTACTACATTATACACAAAGGAGATGGAGCTGTACATGTGTGGTGTATATGTTACCTGCTGGTCTTCTGTTAAGATCACAAGGGGCATAGCTTGGTTTAAATGATTATAATACCAAACAGCACCAGTGTAAATGCACCTTCAAAGAAAAAGGAACCTCTCTTGAGTGTGGAGATGAAAAAAAATAACAAAACAGTAGTCAAAGCTTTCTAGAAAACTTTACACATCAAATGAATATGAAAAAATATCTAAAAAACAATGTTGTGGTTTAAATTGTTTTGTTCTGCATTTTTTTTCTTGTATAAGTTGTAAACTTATACAAGTAAACTTGTATAAGTTCTGACTGCAAAAATTATTGCTGTGCCTTCAAAGCTCATAAAGTCACTCTGCTGTCAAAACTGACAAGTTTTTTTTGGACAAAATTTCTAATAATTGACCATACTTCTCAGCTTAAGTGAAAAAAATAATTAAATGGTCACAAATTTTAAATCAGTCTATGTCCTCAACATAGCTTCACCTCCACTGCCACTCTTCCAAAGACTCCCTGGGTTCCCTGGCAACATAAGCCCCATCACAGAACTCATTACTGAATATGATGCTCTGCTGCCTGTTATCGTTCACAATATCTTTTAGTTGAGATTGAAGTTTTCTCCCTCCTTGATGCTGGACCTATGAAAACATTTACAGAAGTGCTTCATGTACAAGTGCATTCATTGACTTATATGCTAAAGGAATATCCACTCATAACTAAAAGTAAATGTGTTCTTGGCCTTTTTAGCTCAGTGCTATAAAGTTAGAAAACTGAAAGTGAAATTTACTCGTGATAAGACAATAAAATAGGTTGACACGAAAGCATATTATCAAACTTTGTACTTGCTTATTCTTATGTGTGATGTTTTATTACACCTTTAAGCATTGATTCTGAAAGTGAAACATTTATAACATAGAGCATGTGCTTGCCCTATATAAGTCCTATTAAGCTGCATTGAACAAATCTTTATTTACGCATGCCTGTGTGTAAATAAGATGACATGAGCATTTTTTTAAACTGGCTTCAGAGTTTCTGTCTTGTTAAGCTGCAGTGCAGTTTTCCTTCTCTTTGCAATATGGAAGAAACCAGCAAAGAACTGCCCAATTTTTCTATTGGCATTGACCTTTTAGGTCCTGATCCAACAAGCAACAAAAATAAAGCAGGAAAAAAACTTGCAAGTTGCATGTTTTGCAAATTTGTGGGAAGACCAGCTGCAGCAAATTTTGGCTGTAAACTGGATCAAATGTTCTTGCTCAAACCAAGGTATAAAATGTGGTGTATTTTTGACCAGCCAATAGGGATGTTTGTTTACTTTTTTTGTGCATTGTGAGAATTTTGCACTCTATCACAATAAAAGACTTCTTCATGCAGATCCTTGTTTTTGCTGTGTTATAAAAGAATTTGTTCATGCTTTTAGCTGTGCATATATTGAGTTATGGATGTACTTGGGAGGTTTAGAGAGCACTCAAAAAGCTAGAGTTGCTCTCAGCTGTGCCTCGAGCTACTCTTATGCATTTTTGGTGCTCTCCAAACTCCCCTCATGCATCTGTAACTCAATATATGCATGCTAAGCATGAAAAAATTCTTAAATATCTGCTATAAAATATCCATCTACATTCTGCAAAATGCACAAAAAAGGTGTTAGGTTCTTACATGATTAACCACTGTTTCAAAGAAAATTACTCCTTGAATTTCTTCACTCTCAAATATTTCAAGAAACAGCCTTGAAACCTGAAATAAAACACCAAAGAATCAGCTCAAGGAAATTAACCCTATCATTTGGCTTAATTGTGTGTCTTAATTGTGTGTTGTTCTTGTCCTGACACAACTAATTATTTTTCATTTTTTTTTAATTCAAAACTTGAATGCCTTCTCTGTCCAACCATCACATCAGTGCCTGTAATTACCAATTAGTAAATACTTGCAAACTAAAATCCCTGAGGATGTAAGGATATCAATTTGAACTCCAAATCAAACCTCGTCAAATGCTCAGTACCTTTCTGCGGAGCATGGCCATTTGCAAAGCATTTGTGATTTTTTCTTTCTTACCATCCATACCATCACACCGTAAAATCGCCTTTGATGGATGGTCCTCAGGACAAATTTTAGCCTCAAGAAAAACATCGGTTCGGAAAGTTCATGTGATAGGTCAGGGCATAATACCAAGACCACCATCAGCAATTTTCGAGTCGATGTCCAAAACAAGCTGGCTACAGGTATGAAAGGTGTAACTCCATACTACAGTCGACTACAAACTGTTACAAAGCCTTGCTTTCAAATGCAATCTATTGCTTTCGCCATTATTTGTTTTTGTCAAAGAACTGTTCGCACAATAAAGTATGGTGTTATACGGAAATATTGCTGAAAGGTTTACTCTGCACAAGTCTAACAACGCTTAGGCCAAGATCGGTCAAAGTGCGATAAACAAACTCAACTTACCTGGCAATCAGGAACAACGTAATGAGTCAGTGATTTACAAAGCAAAGTTCCGTTGCCTAAATAACGAATTAAATTAAAGTGTGTGATACTGAACTATATTATGCTGTAACTAAGATAACAACTTCAAAAGATTGACTGTAGCTTACTCTGCTTGCAAACGCTTACTTACCTTGTTCGCAAACTGCACAAACTTCACTGTGGCAAGGAACATCTTTCCGCAAATAGTGTTCCCGCACAACATCAAGAAGTCGGCCTGTTTTCGTTTTTAACCTTAGCAGCTTATTAGTTTTGATCATATTTCGGCGTTCATGGATATGAAACAACGGCCATTTTTAAAGTGAAACTACAACTTAAACCCGGCGCCATTTTGTTGATTACATATCCCAACAGCACTTGCTAGTTAAACTTTTGATTGGTATCCAGTTACCTCGATACCTCGGTCGCAAACAAATACTAAATGCGCATTGGTCAGTTGAATTGTGGTTACATCTTCTATTTCCTTGCTGTAATACTAGTTATAGTTCTCACTAGAGCTGCCCCCGCCCTACAGTACCATTTTCTTTTGTTTTTTTTTTTTAGTTGGGCTTGTTGTTTACAGTTGTGTAATTTTTCTGTTATGTTGTTACGGAATTGTGGCTCAATACTTTGGTTTTAGTAATTTTGGATCTCAAAATACTACAAGTGTACAAAATGTAGTTTTGCGAAGTGCTTGGGATGTTTTTTTTGCTGTAATTTACAATTACAACCAGTAATTTCCTTTCTTTGACTACTGTTTACTTTCAGTTGTGCTGCGAGTCCTTCGCGCCCAATAACAGACTTGCCTCTGACAAATCCAGAAATTGCCGAGTCTTTCGGCTTTGTGCAAAAAGCTTGATTTGCGGCGGACAAATCGGAGCTAACCGAGTCTTTCGGTCAAAGACAGCTTTTAAGCACAAAACAGCACTCTCCACGCCTTTCACACTTTGATGGTCGCGTGGACTCCGACCGAAGAAACTCTAAAACTCTGAGAATAATCCAACATCAAAGCAAACGAGTTAGAAACTCAACTTTTTCATGTATTTGATATCTGGTTATACTTTAATTATGCTGCAAGTTCTTTGCTTTAAGTTCTCACGTTAGCTGACTGAGCTGTGGACCCTCCGCCGCCTTCGATCGAGACTTCACACAACCGTTTCTCTTTTGACGGATTCTGATCACCTTTTAAACTCAAAACTACCTTTAATTGTTAGAAAGATGCTATACACAATTACCGTTGGACTTGGAAACGTTTCTCGACGCGGACGCTTAACTCGAAATCTCGACAAGGACAAAGCTCGTGTCAAAGACGCCGATCCCAAAAGTCCTCGCGCGCGTGTCTTTTTGCTGGCCGCCCATGACCATTTGCGGGAAAAACGTTGATACCTTGCGGCCGTGCAAGCGATCAAATCGAGATTTTTTCTGGTTATGATCTACCGAAAATACCTATATTCTCTCTTCTCAAGTCTTCCTCTATATAACGCGGGGAGTCCTAAGGTGCCTCCTCGGGTTTTTGGCCCTCTGGGGCCAAAAAACCCTGCGGGGGCAATAAGTTCGCATTTTGTTGGAACTGACAGGTTCCGATGAAAATACGTTTGAAAAGTCGTTGCTTGTAATAAGGTAGTTGAGATCCATCAAAAGGCTCTTAACAAGTGGATAAATCGTCTGAGGCATGGGCAGCCCTCCATTACCGTAGACCTCACTTGATACTTTGTCTGTGAAGCAGCGTTTGCTCTACTGTGCTGTGCACTTGTGCTTCAATATCAAATTTTATCTAATTCATATTTTGGTATACCTGGTAGTTAAAACGTACTTTTAAACCTATTATTTCGTTATTGTGTTTTTTTTCAGTTACCACTGAAAGGCCCTAATCCTTTTTTACTTTGACCACTTCTGGTAATTTTCGAGCTTGTCGCCAAAGTAAGCGGACCAGAGGTTAGAAAGATATAACTATTTTTTACTTATTAAATATCAATCAAGGGTCGTCATTTCGACACAAAGCTAACGAAAATTATTGCCGTTATTATAAATGCGCTCGCGCTGGTCGCTCGCGCTTAAATGACAGAGCCTCAAATTGAATCTGATTGGTTTATCAAATCGCACGCGCTTGACTCTCTTTTGTTATGTCACAATCTGGAAAAATCCATTCGCATGAAAATACTGTCCAGAGAGACTTATATTTCAAAGCGCGTAAACTTTGTTCAGATATTATCCAGCAAAAGCTAAAAATGGGTTCTGCTTTAAGTTCATACAAATCCAAGAGAAGAGATAAGAAAGAATATAAGAGGTGAGTAAACATTTTTCTTCCGCTTGGAGGAAAATATTCAGATGCTCTTGCGACTCGATTTTGTTTTCCATGGTGACATTGATCACATCGTCTATCTTGTTCAAATCTGTTTTTTCCGTCGAGTAGGAAACTCAGAGAGCAACTGAAAGAAGCACAAGAACACATAGCTCGTCTCCAGGAACAACTTCAGTGTGAAAATGAGTAAGTTCATTCGAGTAATATTTGGTGGGGTGGCTGATTCTTTCTTCATTAAACTTCTTTTCTTTCACTTTCTCTTTTATATACCTAATCATAAAAACCGAGTAAAAAGTCCATATGCACTAGTTATATAAGTCTCTTTAGCTAGGAGGGCTTCATCTGGGTTATTCCGAGAAAAAGTGAGGGACTAAATATTTGGGTGGTTGCCCAGTACTTCTAGCTCTTGTTAGACGCAAAAAAGGTGAATAATTGTTCTATCTAAGACCTTTTCTTAGCTTTTCTTTTCTTCAAAGTTTTACATTGTAAAGCTAGAATTAGTACTTGCTGGTGCAATTCACCGTTATTGTTCATTACTTGTGTGGGCTAATTATTCTTCTTCGTTCTCTTTTGACATTTTATTTAGATTACTTGAGGCCTTTCAAAGGTCACGCATCGCCCCTAACGTAGGGCCTGGAACACAGAAATATCAAGCAGCCACTGAAATGATGAAAGAAATTGACGCTTTGGAGCGAAAGCTCTTCTTTGAGCAAGTTGCTCTGAATGTTACAGAAAATAGATGTGATTTTCTGGATAACAACTACCGGTAATTAAATCGCTGTTAAATAACCGTACATTATGGCGTTATTAAAGAGTTAAATACAAAAGTTTTAATTTTTCACACCAAAAGATTGTGAGTTCTCAAATAATAAAAAGACTCTATAATAGTCTTCGTTCAGTGCAAAGAGTGTTTGGAGATCGGCAAGTATGGAGGGGAGGGGGGAGAACGAAGGCTAGTGCTCTCAAATGGGGCAAGTCAGGAAAAAAAATTCATTTCAACCTGTAAATATGTTTTATCTCTTTTTACAGTCTTCTTCACGACAATGAGACGAACCTTTACTGGCAGAAGTCATCCTGTCAAACAAACCTGGAGGCCTTGAAAAAGAAGCAAGAGGCCATTCAGTTCAGTCGATTCAAAGACGAAAATCCGCTGGAACAGTGGGTCGTCTGCTCGCTTCCAAATCTTTACTTCGGAAGAGTTGAAACCCTATCATCATGGCATTAGTGTTCTCTTAGTTGAAAAAATGAAAATGAAAACAATGTAATGCCTTTCTTTGCCTAAATATTTTGAATGAAAACATTTGTACTATGCCGTAACTGAATCTTCTAGACAAATGATGCGATGGTACTTTTTATTGAAATGTTCGATAGAAATTTAATAAACTTATGGTAATTTTTTGTTCGAGGTGATGTAGTAGTTATCTGGCCCTATTGAAAGTGAATTAAAAGGCCTAGCCTCAGATGAATTTGACCACTCAAAACCAAGGCCATCAATTGCAACATAATGGTAGTTTATAATAATCGCATGATTCTTCCCAGTCAGTCAAGGGTCGTGGTTTTACTTTCAATAGAAACATCAGCGATTTACACCATTACGTCATGACCTCTGCGGAAGATTTCAGAGTTAAAGCATTTTTCTTTAAGTGTTTTTATTCCGTCTCTATAGTGAGATCTTAACTTAAAATAGGAGAAGGAGGTAAATAATTTTAGACTGGAAGTGGAAAATGATACACTTGACAATTGACACGCCGCATGTGTGAGTTGTTAAGCCCGCCATTGTAACCAGTGTAAGGTCCAACTTCTGCGCCTATCAATTTTCTGTGAACGTTATGCCTCTTGCAAAAATCATCAAACAGGTATCTTGAGAAAGAGTCAATGACTAAGAGTAAGAAGCTTTGATATACTCGATACAACGTTGTCACAGACAGACAGATGTGTTTTCCTTTGCGTTTCCCTGGAAGCGAGATTTTCTTTGTCAGTTCCATCACGAACACCATAACTATACTGTAAAAGAAAACTTGAAATAACCAGAAGCATGTCCCTCATGAAGTTTCTTATATTCAGTCACTTTGAACGAAGCACAAACGCAGGTTTCACCTTATGTGCAGTTGTTCGCTTGAGTCTTAAAACAATGGATAACTGAAAGGAAAAGCTCACTGCTTTCATTTTTCATTTTTAGAGGGCACGGTAACAAATCCTGCAATCTGATTGGTTCTTTACCCGGTCAGTATTTTCCTATCTCTGCCCACGGGCCACAGCTACGCTTTCGTGAATCGCCGAGTACATCCCAGATTTCGTTGCCATTTCTCATAAACATATCTCTTTTTTCTGGCTGGGCAGTATATTTAACAAGACAAGTCGGTTACTACCTCAATAAAATAACTTATGAATCCTCTCTTTTCTCTCCCTCAAATCACTTTGGTTGACAGAAAAATATGGGTTTCAGAATGAATTTGTTTAGGCAGTAGTTTCATTACGTTGGTTGACAAGCGGCCTAAAAACCGTCTGCAATTAATTTTAATCGTTCACAAAAAGTACTTAGAAAGTTAAAACGTGAAGTATTTGGTTACAGTTAAAATGAGCGATGGAACTTTTATTCATTTAATATCTGAATTTTCTCAAACAATTTGTTCGTAGTGAAAGAGCGAGCGAAGTTTTAAATTCAGTTCTACAACAAATATACGCCCTCGGTAAGTCTTTCCGAGTCTGTTCAATTTGGACATTTGTACCGTAAATTGCACAACAGAAACTGAAGGGATTTATTGAGAAAAGGCCCCAATAAATCCCCTTGTGTCTCGTTGGAGTGTACCATTCGAATTTAGTTTTTGTGGAGGAAACACCAGATTTACACACGCCATTGCAGCAAACAAACGAGCAAACTCTTACAACTTCCAAATAAAAAAATTTGACTTACTCACAATTACTTTCCTCGCCGTTAACTTAATGAACAGAGGTAAATCTTCGTACATGAATGAATCGTCGATGAGAGTGAATAATACTTTCTGTTAGATCATTGAATGTTTTTGAAGAAAACATTGTCGTGACAGTCCTTGCCAAACTAGTTCCGTTGTGTTTCAAATGTTCTTGCGCTTTTTTTTCTTACGCGCTCTCTAATTGACAGGTGTCAGATTGTGACAGATACTTGTAAAAATAATGTTTCAAAGTTTATTTGGAAGCCTTTTAACTTTCGGTGAGGTATCTCTCTTTAATTTGCATCACCTCTATTTTAATTACCATTTAATCGCTCAAAAATTGTTCAGTTTATGGAAGATCTTGCCGTATTTACAGCCCTAGACCATTCGGGTTCTTTCGGAAAGAATCTCATCAAGTCTTAAAAAAATAAATATGTTATTTACCGGCTAAGTGTCGGTCCGTATGGCAAAAAACTGTGACCTCGGTCTTGAAAATGCTGCGGCTTGGCATTGTATTGATATTTTTAGGAAAAATAAAATCTGTCTTGGTCACTCACGGGAGTTCAATACAAGTAAACTAAATACTGTAAAAATAGACTGAAGCATTTTAAGTTGACATTTTTTTGTTCGTACAAACCCACTGGGTTGCATCAACAGGTGTATTTAAATACATAAAGTATGTAATAATTGTAAATTGTAGTAAATTCAAACTTTTAAGGTTGCAATGAAAAAATACAACTGTACTGTGAGAGTAATCAATCAAAAGCCCGAAATAATGTTCAGGGAAGTTCTACAGAATGGGGTCTTCAAGTTGATATCACCCCTATTCTTGAGCCTCACGGATGAGTCTGACTTTCTTTGCAAAGTTTTTTTTTCATTTGTTTTACAATTGTTTACTGAGTCTAGTTTATGAGGTTGGATGCAGGGCAGCAAATATATATATTTTTTCCTTTTCTTTGTAAAAACATACATGTCTATTATCATGTCCCATTTATTTCTAACAACACAGAATGTTATCAGACATTTCTGATATCTTCTTTCTTTTCTGCAACTGAGTCTCCATTTCAAGGTTTTCAAGGCATTATGTGAAGCCTAAGTCAAAATTTTGTTGCACTTTTGTCAATATTAGTCTAATATTGACCAATGATTGACAGTTACTGCAGGTTTGCAAACACTTGCTTACCTATTCACCATGCCAGTGATGAGTACATCAGAGTCTAGTGAACCCTTACTGTCTCATATACCCTTGCTAAGGATGTAGAAAATCACTTTTAAACAATAATGTAATGCAATTGATTTATTTGCAAAATAGGCTTGGTGTTTTTGTTTTATTTTTCATGCTGGTTAGGCTGATTCCAAGCATTGAGGATCTCACCTTCTTAAATGTGTTCTTGGCATTTTTAGCTCAGTGCTATAAAGTTGGCAAACTGAAAGTGACATTTACTTGTGATAAGACAATAAAAATATGTCAAAAAGAAATCATATCATCAAATGTCGTACTTGCTTGTTCTTATGTGTGATGTTTAATTATACCTTTAAGCATTGATTCTGAAACTTAAACATCTATCAGCTATAAAATATCCATCTACATTCTGCAAAATACACAAAAAGCTGTTCTGTGCTTACATAATTAACCACTGTTTCAAAGAAAATTACTCCTTCAAGTTCTGCACTCTCAAATATTTCAAGAAACAGCCTTGAAACCTGAAATAAAACACCAAAGAATCAGTTCAAGGCAATTAACCTTGTTTGTATAGCTGACTATATGAGAACCCTTCAGAGTTCAAAATAATTTTTCAGCTTTTAGCATGAATTTGTAGGCTTTTGTCAAGGCTAATTTTTTTCTCGGCTGTCAATAATAAATGAGCAGTCAGCACACATCTTTAACACTCAACATGGTTTATTAACAGTACTGAAAGGAATCAAACACTGAATGCATACGTAACAGCATCAGAATCTTTATTTTGGTCAACATGTTTTCTTGCAGAAATTCCCTTTCTACCAAAACATAATGAACAGCTCAATTAGTTTTCAGTGTTTGTTCAAGCATGATCACCACCTCTAGAGGTGAATTGTTGAATGTATGTCTTGCCTTAGACTGAACATAAATTACATTAGTGGTTTCTTCCAAAATGTATCTGCCACTAGTTCTTGGAACGTAGGAGGTCCTTTCACATTCTTGTGTGTTATTTCTGCATGATAATCTTCACAAGAGTGCCACCTTTTTGTCTTGCATTACCAAAAAGTGGTGGCCTTGAAGAACTTGCTTGAGAGCCAGTAAGAGAGACACCATAAGTTAACAAATGACTTAATTGCCCTGTATATGTTGTCCAGCTATCTGTGGGATGTTTGATGGCAAATTCGTCAAATCTTCCCCCATGACAAGAAGAGAAGATCCATCCTCTAAATGCAAGACATTAAATCGTCCTGAGTGAGTCAGCCAGTACATCATGTCTCCAAACTCATCCCTTAAGTACAAAAAACTCGTTTCCACCTGAGAAATACAATTTTCCTCATTTGCTGTTTTCAGTGTTGAAGATTTCACCCCCAACACAACTGCCTGCAGGGTAACCACAGTTAAAAACAATCTAAATTTTGTTTTAGATTACTTAATCTTGCATTGTTGCAGTCACGTCGTCAGACAATTTTGCAAGACTCCAAATGTAGATACAAAGTGTACTTGCCTGAAAAGCTTGAGAAAGCCTGGAAACTGTCATATCCCCCGCTGCTATTCGTAATTTAAGCAGTCTTTTCCAACCCTAGTCAAATCAAAGGTTTTATTGCTTGCCATGATGTCGGCGAACGGACAGTCCGAAAGAGCACGAAACTTTCACTTCTCCAGGCAGGCCATTAGAAATGGGGTGGTATCAGAAACTCCCTCTCCGTCACCTTCCTTCCAACCACGTTTTACAGTATGGTGAAAAAGTCAATATGGCTACATTACCCGCACCAATATGCTCCAATACGAGGTCTAAGATCTTTTTAACTTCTTAGCTAAATGTCGCTGTAATGGACAGAACTGAGGAAGACACTCTAAAACGTCATGAAAGACCATGAAGAGACAGCTAAACTTTCACTTCATTCCCAACCTTTTAAACAAGGAAGCGGACCTGACCGTGAGGAGGGGGTGCTGGGGGTAAAAAATTACCGTATGAATGGACCCCTCCCCCTCCCTCTTGGGTAGTTCTGTCTACTATTTTGAGTGTTTTGGCTGAAAAACAAAACTTGAAAATTGCAATCAATTTTCAATTATTACACTGCCACTGAAAACAGAAAAACTAAGCCATGCCACAGACTGCAACATTATCGGAAGAGCAAAATTGCCGCTCTGTTTCATTTTTCTCTTTATTGTTGACAGGATTAAATTAAAAATATAAGTTGCGTTTCAATATTCTATCAAAAGGAAAAATAGTAAAAAATTTTCGATTTGGCACTTTCCTATTTTTTATGATAAAAAATAACGAAAATCAAACAAAAAACGTCAATTTTCAATTTTTAATTTTAAAAGAAAATTGAACGGTCGAATGACACACGGATCCCTTGGGCCAAGATCGGTCAAAGTGCGGTAAACAAACTCAACTTACCTGGCAATCAGGAACAACGTAATGAGTCAGTGATTTACAAAGCAAAGTTCCGTTGCCTAAATAGCAAAATAAATTAAAGTGTGTGATACTGAACTATATTATGCTGTAACTAAGATAACAACTTCCGAAGACTGGCTGTAGCTTCCTCTGCTTGCAAACGCTTACTTACCTTGTTCGCAAACTGGACAAACTTCACTGTGGCAAGGAACATCTTTCCGCAGATAGTGTTCCCGCACAATATAAATAAGTCGGCCTGTTTTCGTTTTCAGCCTTAAAAGCTTACTAGTTTTGATCATATTTCGGCGTTCATGGATATGAAACAACGGCCATTTTTCAAGTAATACTACAACTTGAACCCGGCGCCATTTTGCTGATTACATTTCCCAACAACACTTGCTAGTTAAACTTTTGATTGGTATCCAGTTACCTCGATATCTCGGTCGCAAACAAATACTAAATGCGCATTGGTCAGTTGAATTGTGCTTACATCTTGTATTTCCTCGCTTTAATAAAAGTTCGCATTTTGTTGGAACCGACAGGTTCCGATGAAAATAATTTTGCAAAGTCGTTGCTGGTAATAAGGTAGTTGAGATCCATTAAAAGGCTCTTATCAAGTGGATAAATAGTCTGAGGCATGGCAGCCCTCCCTTACCGTAGTTCTACTATGCTGTGCACTTGTGCTTCAATATTAAATGTTACCTAGTTCATATTTTGGTGTACCTGGTTGTTGAAACGTACTTTTAAACCTATTATTTTCGTTATCGTGTTTTTTTTTCAGTTACCACTGAAAGGCCCTAATCTTTTTTTACTTAGAGCACTTCTGGTAATTTTCGAGCTTGTGGCCAAAGTAAGCGAACCAGAGGTTTGAAAGATATAACTCTTTTTTACTTATTAAATATCAATCAAGGGTCGTCATTTTGACACAATGCTAACGAAAATTATTGCCGTTATTATAAATTCGCTCGCGCTTAAATGACAGTGCCTGAAATTGAACCTGATTGGTTTATCAAATCTCGCGCGCGCTTGAATCTCTTTTGTTGTGTCACAATGGGGAACACTCCATTCGCATGAAAATACTGTCCAGAGAGACTTATATTTCAAAGCGCGTAAACCTTGTTCAGATACAACCCAGGAAAAGCTAAAAATGGGTTCTGCTTTAAGTTCATACAAATCCAAGAGAAGAGATAAGAAAGAATATAAGAGGTGAGTAAACATTTTTCCGCTTGGAGGAAAATATTCAGATGCTCTTGCGACTCGATGTTTTCCATGATGACATCGATCACATCGTCTATCTTGTTCAAATTTGTATACTTTTTTCCCGTCGAGTAGGAAACTAAGAGAGCAACTGAAAGAAGCACAAGAACACATAGCTCGTCTCCAGGAACAACTTCAGTGTGCAAATAAGTAAGTTCATTCGAGTTATGTTTGCTGGGGTGGCTGATTCTTTCTCGATTAAACTTATTTTCCTTGACTTTCTCCTTTTTATACCTAATCGTAAAAACCGAGTAGAGAGTCCATATGCTCTAGTTATGTAAATGTCTTTAGCTAGGAGGGCTTCCTAGACTCAAAGAAGGTGGATAGTTTGTTCTATCTGAGACCTTTTCTTAGCTTTTTCTTTTCTTCAAAGTCTTATTTTGTAAACCTAAAATTAGCACTTGCTGGTACAATTCACCGTTATTGTTCATTATTAGTGTGGGCTAATTATTCTTGTTCGTTCTCTTTTGACATTTTATGTAGATTACTTGAGGCCTTTCAAAGGTCACGCATCGCCCCTAACGTAGGGCCTGGAACACACAAATATCGAGCTGCCACTGAAATGATGAGAGAAATTGAAGCTTTGGAGCGAAAACTTTTCTTTGAGCAAGTTGCTCTGAATGTTACAGAAAATAGATGTGACTTTCTGGATGACAACTACCGGTAATTAAATCGCCTTTAAATAACCGTACATTATAGCGTTATTAAAAAGTTAAATAAAAAAGTTGTAATTCTTCATACCAAAATATTATGAGTTCTCAAATAATCAGAAGACTCTATAATAGTACTTAGTCAGTGCATAGAGTGTTTGGAGATCGGCAAGTATGGAGGGGAGGGGAGAGAACGAAAGCTAGTGCTCTCAAATGGGGAAAATTAGGAAAAAATCATTTCAAGCTGTAAATATGTTTCATCTCTTTTTACAGTCTTCTTTATGACAATGAGACGAACCTTTACTGGCAGAAGTCATCCTGTCAAACAAACCTGGAGGCCTTGAAAAAGAAACAAGAGGCCATTCATCGATTTACACCATTACGTCATGAACTCTGCGGAAGATTTTAGAGTTAAAGCATTATTCTTTAAGTGTTTTAATCACCAGATGAATTTTTAACTATCAATTCAATGGTAATTTATTAAAAGGTCAAAGGTTCGTGGTTTACATTTACGACTAAAAATCTGCGGAAGGACAATGCCTTTTAACTCCTAATCTCGGAATTAAAAAAGCCGTATATGAATGGATTCAGAGCACTGTTGCAGTATAAAAGGATGATCGAAGAGCGTCTGATAAGACCCGGGACAGGTGAGATTGAATCTATTAAAAGAATCACAACAAATGGTATCCAAGAAATCAGAAAAGTACATGTGACAATGAGAAATGTTTTGAATATTTTGATCTCCCGTTTCAGTCGTGCTCTTTGACTAGTTTTCTTAGGTTCTCCTTCTGGACTCAGCGCGTTCTTCGTAAACGTCGAAACAGGAGCCAGCGATATTTCTTGCACGTGTATTCTGGTCATATGAGCACGCGCAATTAGAAACATTTTCATATTCACGAATACGAGAAAAAATACCGGTAGAATAAAAGCTATAACCAGTACAAAAACAGAGTACTCATATCGCAAACCCCATATCGAACAGTTGACGTCGTTTTCCTTGGAAGCATGCCTGCCGTATGTGACGAAACCGGCTACTATCAGCGCGCAAAACCAGGACACTCCGATAATTTTCTTGACTCTGCTTTCGTTCATGCGTGACAGATAATTTAGTGGTGAAGTCACAGCCAAGTATCTGTCTCCGCTGACCACACACAAGTTGTATATGGAGGCGCTGCACAGAATAAAGTTCAGGAATAAATAGAGGTCGCAGGTAAAATTGCCAAAAGTCCATCGACCTAGAGATCAAGTATACTGAAGTAAATGAAAGAACACAGGTTTGCCCATTAACTATTAAAAAAAATTAATGAAAGTAAACGTATTTACAGTCTAACCAGCTCTTGCTTGTCTCTGACCATCTACCTCCTCCTTCCTCCCTCCCTTACCCCCGCCTCAACTGCCTCCTCCTTCCTCCCCCCCCCCTCGCTTCCAGAACATTTGTCAAGTTTCCGACGACGGCTCAATCATGTCCATTTTCCCATGTGGTGAGAGGTCAAGTCTCAAATCCTTTCGACAACACCTCGTTTTTCACGACTTCTGTTTCTAAGCAAAAATAGTGCTAGCTATGGGCGATGACTACGCGATTGATAAAATTTCTTTGAGCGTTTGAAATTAGCAAACATAATTTTTATCAGCTTTGGCTGTGGTTAAATGGAATCCCACAAATCGATTGATCGATTTATCATTATCATCTTTTTCTTCTATTAGTTAAGGCGAGCTTTCATCCCACGCTATTGCTGAACCCATCGTTTTTCAAGATAGAGAAACGCTCTTTTGGACAGCCCAGCTTTGATTAATTTTAAAAATTTTGCTCCGGCGAAGGGCGGAAGGACAGAAGCCAATTTACATTACCAACCGTCTCAGTTGATGAAACCAGATTATATTGCGTGAATATCCCAGAAACCTACCCCACTTGTCTTACGTTTGTGTGGTCTATTTTCCATTAAGTAAAATATTTACCTGTATCCTGATAGCTAACGAGGTAGCCCAAAGTCAGTGGCAAAACCAGCAAACCCGTGAGGAAATCAGAAAATGACATGCTAGCCACAAAGTACAGTGACGGGATCTGCATGCGCCGACAAACCCAGACAAGCCGACATACCACAAGGTTACCAACTGTGGCAAGGCATATGACAACGACGAGGAAACTTGCTATGATAATAGTCATTGGACCCCAAGGTGAATGCGGCGCCTGTTCATTCCTCCCAATTGTCTTGCTGGAGTTTTCAGCACTAACGTGATTTTGAAGTTGTTGCGGGTTATCCATGATTTCATCTGTGATGAAAATTAAATCAGCAAAGAAGTGAGACGATAGTATCTAAAATGAGAAGGCAAACATCGAAGAAAAGAAAATTTCAGACGGTCGTGGAGCGTGAACACCTGTAAGCCAATGGAAAGTCTGTGGAAGGATCAGCTGCCTGATATTGTTTTCAAAGTGCTTCGTAGGTGTCGATGAGATTTGTATTCCCTTAAATATTTTTAAACAGATGCAACAAATACATCCATATCGGTCTCTTTGTTTGGTCGTCACCTTTGCCGGAGTGTGGGCCGAGTGTGAAATCGAAACAACTAGTCACAAACATGATTGCAAATCAACAAATTTTGATTCAAACCCCTTGTTATGAACTTACCTAATGTCGAAAATGAAATGAAGTTTTAGATAACGATGTCAAACGGAAATGAAATGGTTAAAAATATGATCTTTCAATATTTCACCTTCAACTTTTAACGTGAAAGTCCCTAGAGACAATATATTTATCGTTTCGTTCGACTCAAATGTTTGACTATGTTTGGACAGATGTTTTATCCTCGATTTCTCGATCGAATGTCTTGAAACGGAAATGAAAGTAATCATTAAAGTCCATAAAGCAAAATAGTATGCAAGTATTTTGGATTAAGACGCGCGTAAGACAAAAGGAGTTTGATAACGATGTTGGATAACGATGTCAATCGAAAATGAAATGCTTCAAAATACGATCTTTCAATATTTCATCTTCAAAAAACATTCTGTTTCATGAACTTTTGACGTGAGACACTATATTTATCGTTTCGTTCGACTCCAATACTTGACTATGTTTGGACAGATGTTTTTATCCTCGATTTCCCGATCGAATGTCTTGAAACGGAAACGAAAGTAGTCATTAAAGTCCATAAAGCAAAATAGTATGCAAGTATTTTGGATTAAGACGCGCGTAAGACAAAAGGAGTTTGATAACGATGTTGGATAACGATGTCAATCGAAAATGAAATGCTTCAAAATACGATCTTTCAATATTTCATCTTCAAAAAACATTCTGTTTCATGAACTTTTGACGTGAGACACTATATTTATCGTTTCGTTCGACCCCAATACTTGACTATGTTTGGACAGATGTTTTTATCCTCGATTTCTCGATCGAATGTCTTGAAACGGAAACGAAAGTAGTCATTAAAGTCCATAAAGCAAAATAGTATGCAAGTATTTTGGATTAAGACGCGCGTAAGACAAAAGGAGTTTTCTCTTTCACCCACGTATACGCTCCCTTTCGCGCGCGTTTCACGCGTTAATGTCGAACGCCTACTATACAGCTTATTAAATCGAGAGAAATCAGTACAAAGAACCAAGGAAACTTAAAGGCGAGTGCTTCTAATTCCACTAACACACCCTATAAAAGAACGGGTAAAGTTTTATTCTTGAAGGGGAATCCAAAGCAATTCCCGTTCTTCAAAAGCAAATAAAAAAGTCGTTGTTTTGGAAATCCGTTAGTTGAGAAAAACGTTCAGTTATGAACAAACCTCTGTTCTCGCAAGCTGTCAGCTTACGCGCACATATCCGTATCTTGGGTGTAAGGTAATCCATGGGACCACAACGACCTGAGTCAGCACAGAAATTCCCTTTAGACTGAGTATTGGTTCACTCTGGTATCACATGTCAATAAAACATGGAGTTTGTGGACTTAAATGGAGTAATTCAAAACTATAAGAACATTCTCGAACGATAGATAGTGTACGCATCATGTTTGTAATTGGACAGTGTAATAGGACAGTTGACAAGTCATGCCTTTGTAAGTGGACAGTACGCGTCAAGTGCGCGCGTTGTTGTCGTGCATTTCGCTGAGTTAACTGTTGTTTGTTCATGAAAAAGTATGACGGATGTCTAGTCCGATTTGCTCATCACTTGTATGATTACAGACCGAATTAGACTCCACTCGGTCCTATTACCATAACGAATACCCCGTTTGAGAGGTTGCATACGCGGTCAGAGAGCCTATAGTCAGATTGGTCAGAGTAGATACGGTTACGCGTGGATATACAGTCGATATAAATTAATTATGCATTGAGTTCGTAAAATTTCTTGTTCTCTAAACGTTACTCGCGCCTATCCACTGTGAGCTCTTCTTACAATATTACTAAGGGAGGGGTGGTCCTTGCCACTGCAAGCCTAACACATCCACGTAACCATGTGTCCACTTCAATCTGTGTTCAAATGTGAATGTAATCTTGAAAAAGAATTTGTTAAAAATCCCTAAAATCAACCAATTTCGACTTACGACCCCCACTCCCCCGTTCAATGTTGAATAGTAAACAAATAGTAAATAGTAAACAACGCGGTCATTTGTTTTTCGGAGAGTTCTTCGATAAAGATTCGTAAAAACCAAAACCAAG